CAAACATTCCTGCATGCTAAACCTTCCTGGTGGGCAACATCGCAAGCCCCTACTTGTACCTTTGAGTTGAGGCTGTGTGACGGCATGGGCACGGAAAGGCTGCGAGCAAGTTACCAGGTCACAGCCTCCTCTGTGCCATTTTTCCTGAGCTGAAAGCAGGGCAGCCGACTCAGCACTCAGAACGCTCCACACACTTCATGGCAGACGCAGACCAGGCAAGCATCACCAAGACGGATTGTCGCACATTCATCCTGTCGTGGACCTGAGCAAGGTGTACATGGAAGCATCCACATGCGCCCACTGCAACTTGCCAAGTGTTCGTCCCTCAGGAGGTTTCGCGGCTGGGAATGGGACCATCTTTCTGTGAGTTACTTGGGGAGTTCGGTAGCTACAATTGCTACAAACTTGAGGGGCAAGGCGAGGCTAACGAAAGCTAGCCCAGAGTCGCCTGACTACTCCCCTGAACCCCCCTTGCTGCCCCAAATTTAGTATAACAGGTCTTTACTCTTACTTCTCGTTTTTGTGTATCTCTCTCCCTCCCTCCCTCCCTCCCCCTCTCTCAAAACATACCTTTACATGTAAGACCCCAGTGACGAAATGACCATAACCATGTTCAGCCACTAGTCCTATCATCTTGGCCCCCAAGGAATTAATTGTCCATGAGCCCATTCACCCAAGCATTTTGGGTGGGTTGATGGGTTCATGCGCCAAATGTTTCGACGAACAGCCTAGTCCATGACAACTACCGGGTTGACAAGTACATGCAGCTGTAGGAGGCGCGGGGATGCCGGGTCACCCTTACCACATGTGCCGTTAGGTTCCCTCCCTCCCATTCTGAAAGCAAGAAGCTTGCTTCAAGGAGAACATCCCAAACTTGGGTTCTGTGTTCTCCTCGTCGTCATCTTCGTCGTTAAGCTGATCTTCAGCTTCGAGACCTTGCATAACACGCTGCGATGACCCCGAGTGTTCATCGAAGGCTTCCTCAAATTGCAAGCTACTTGTGCCACAGGTCTTGACAGCAGCCCAGAGATTAGTGAGAATAGCCCAAACAAAATCGCTCACAGCATGATTCAGCATGGAATAATAAGCCGCAAGTGATGGCAAGTGCAAGGCGGGCCTTCATTTTCGACAGCACCGTCGCGTGCTCCAGGCGTCAGACCGTAGCGAATGCCTCCTTTCGGTCGGAAGGCCTTTGCATCGCGATGTTGACTGTGATGAGCATGAGGACTGGCCAGAAGGTTGGAGACGTCACCTGGGCAAGACTGCTGCCGGAGTAGAGGGATTGCACTGTTTCACTTTGTCACGGCCGCTTACCTAACTTCGACTGTGGGAGCTGTGCATTGGCTGACGAAGCATGCGCCAGACTCTTTGAGCGGAGATTGCACGCTGGTGATGCCCCCTTGCCTGCTGCACAAGGGATGTTGCTAACCCGAGGAGGCCCCACGTGATTGGGGTAGAAGAACGACCCACCTCCTTCCCCTCCTTATCACTCCTTTCTCCCTCTTGTATGTCTTGACGGGAATGAGTTACGCTGCACTCCCACACCCAATGGCCAAAAGTCCGTGGTCAGGGGCCCGCAGAAACCCACGGTCCCCTCGCCCCTTGCTATGGAACCCGAACGAGCCCCAAGACTTGCCGTGGATCTTTCTCTGGACTCTCCTTCATGGGCCCTGAACCTCGATCTATGACCTCTCTTTTGGATAGGTGTGGTCATGGACAAGGTCCCGGGGCTTGTCGGAAAGCATTCTGGGATTTCGGCTTCGCAAAAGGGCTCCTGGGCAACAAATGCACTCTCTGACCCTGTGGAACCACGATGGACTGCCTACAACTCTCTAGGCGCATGCTCTTGGAAAAAGATATCTTCTTTGGACTGTTGACAACAGACCGCTCCGCCACGAAAGCCCATGGGCTGCGCAGGGACTCCATGGACTTTCTGGCCCTTCGGCGCCCCACAGACTCCTTTCCATTGTGTATGGATTCCATAGACGCCCCTCGAGGCACCGGACCGTGTGGCTTCTCCCTTTTAAGGCACAGAGAAAAACGTGATTTCGCCCACAGACTAAGATCCCTTGAACAATCTCATAAGACATTATGACCATCCGCACTCGACGCAGATTAAGCAAATACATTGTGCCAAGTGGCTGCCGACCTGCTGTAGCACTGACTGCAGCTCATGCTGGACGTCTGCGATTGAAGACAACTGCCTCCGAATCGTCGCTAGCTCCTCAGAGGAGCGGCAAGGTTCGGGACGAGTCCAGGATTGATTTTGTTCGGATGGTGTACAAGAAGGATGACGCCCTCCAAGTCATCCAATCCCATCACAAGCCAGTGCATCTTCATTCTCGAGTCTATTTGCCGTCGAACTCCCTCTGCCCAAACGTCTTACATTCCTTCAATATCCTTCACATTATCCTGCTCTCCCCATCTCCAAGGTCTTGCCTGCTTGATGCCAGAAAGATCTGGCAGGTTCTCGCCGCTTTGGAAGGCCATCGAGGTTCCTCCGAGCCACACGCGAGAAGGGAACATTGCTTTCGCCACGCTTGGGCTGCCTATCTTGAAGTAGCCAACTAAACGAATCAGCAGCAACCGTTGAACCGTTGAACCGGCGGCGAGCCAAATTCAATCAGCGCTTCTTGTTCGACCAGCCCGCGTAACCTGCTGAAGTATGTGCAGCCGGTAGCTGCTTGCTGACATCAACAACTGCCGTCTCCACTGCTCTTTTGACTCCCGACCCGGATAGCCCCACACACTCGACATTCAAGCAGTGCACGCGACATGCAGCCGTCCTATCAGCTCGCGGTGCGATGGCACTGCACCGACATCTGCCTCCCGGTGAGGAGAACTGGAACACTCATGGCTACGATGTGACAACAACAAACCAACTCCAAGATTTCAGATGTAGTCTGCAGGAAAACCCACCGCATGATCATGCAGGAAGCTCCTCACCTGTTTGCTGGACTGGGGCGCGATCTGTTCTCGGGCTATCGTTTCTTCTTGAGTATCGGTTTAGGAGTTTGGTGGTACGGCCTGCAACTTCATGGCTTGGAAGAGGAATGAACCCTTCGGTGAGCCGGCTGGATATTCTTTGATTTGTAGTACTTAGTACAAGCTTAGTGGAACCGACATTCCCGTGAGCCGGCTGGAGTTTCATTGACTTGTAGTCCAGGCTTAGTCCCGGAACCGATGTTCCCGTGCGCCGGCCGGATTTTCTTTGATTGTGGTACGAGCCGGATTTTCTTTGATTTGTAGTACAAGCTTGGTACTGGAATTGGCGTTCCCTTGAGCCGGCTGAATTTTCATTGATTTGTAGTGCAAGCTTAGTACTGCCGACTTTCCCGTGAGCCGACAAGCTTAGTACTGGAATATCGCCTGCCTGCCCCGATACAGCGATCAGACCAGTTTGTTTTTGAATGTCGCGTTACGCTCAGAAGCATTGCCGCAAACACTTCAGGCAACTCTTTTCATAAATCGAACGCGCTGGTGGGTGAGTTGCTGCTTCTAGCTGATGCCCTGTGCCCTCGCCTTCTGTCTCGCACTGGTTGGCTCTCCGCGCGGTGGACGCGAGCTGCTGGCACTGGCAGGGCCTCGCCGGATGGAACCTCGAAGCCGGTGTCATGTTCCACTTCAAGACCCGGTTCGTCAAACATTCAAAACGCCCAGGACACTTTCGACGCTTGCAGGCCCAATGAGTGTCAAGTGGTTGCAGAGAACCAGCTCACTTCGAACCCGAGCCTGCCCGCCTCGCTTGAACGCACAATGTCATTCATGTTCAATCCAATATCCAATAACAGATGCCGTATGAAAGATAGCAGATGGTGATGCGCAAAAGCTTGTGCAATCATTGAAGACATAGCATGTTGGTACAATATGGTCTGTTGTTGTTCGTATTGGGCTCTTACAGTATTCTGCGCAAGAACTTCACGATTTTGTTGAGCAAAGCCCTCGCTACTCCAAGCAGCTATGGCTATGTCCGCGGCTATGTGACATGCGCAAGTAGACGGACCGTGAAACTGCTTTGCTGCTTGCTTCTGATCGCCTCGCAACGAGCAAGTCTTCGGGTGCATTTTAGCTTGTTCATGCTTGTTCTGCGTTGTGGGGGGAGGGTGCCAACTTTAAGCAGGAGACTTCGGCCCTCTCCTCGTCCAGGTGAGCTGCAAGACCTGACAGGCATGAGGGGTCCCACCTGGCCTCGACTCCTCAAACATGCAGCCAGTGTGAAGTCAAAGGTGTCATTGACGACTGCAGTTCAGCATGGAACAGATAACCCTGCCATAATATTCTGTGATCCATTGGTCGAGGTCGTGGCGGCCAGCATAAGCCGGGATCAGGAGTGCGGCCCCTGAAAAAAACAACGGAAACAAATACCAACTTGTTGTTTCAGATGTCCTTGGCTTGGACTGTGGCACACCACACTGTACTGATCCTATGTACTCACCACGTCTCATCTCAGCTACTGCACAACTCTCGGCCCGTCTTGCCTAACTCTTGAGCTGTTAACTCAGGTCTTCAAGTTCACAAAGGACTGATAACGCAGCCAGCTGAAAGCAAACACACAGTGCCATCGTGCATGCGATTATGGATATGAACGCCCTGCATTCCACGCACGGGCTCCTCGGGGATGGCATGGGGCGATGATGAACTGTGCAAATGTCGATTGAATTCCTCGATTCTGCACGTTTCGCTGTGGGCTCTGGTGGTGCTTGTGACGCTATTGCTGCCAGGGGTATTTCTTGTCTGCGTAGTGAATGATGGTTGACCCTAGCGGGCTCACTACCAACGAGTTGCATCAGTTGTACGTATCTAGACTTGTTTGTCCGGCTGGTGGTACATCAATTTCCTTGGCGGAGTCCAGATTTCAGTACTCCGTCTTGCGCGCGCAAACGCTGCAGAAAGCAAAGTTTGGAGTGTCATGTTACATGCTCTTCAGCTTGAACCGTGCGAGGGAAGTTCTGCATCTGAAGGTGTTTGTGTCATTCTGCTAGATGCACGTCAACGCCCTCCTCGTAGATGCCGTTCAGTATGTCATTCGTGCCGCGCCGCCCAGCCACGCAACTGAGCATCGGCCAGGCAAACTGAATCGTTCGAGCACACTGATTCGGAACAACTGAATACTGCGCAAGGATTACCCGCCCCCCTGGGCTCAGCAACACTCGACGTGGCAATGGTGCTGGTCGCTGCAAGGAAGAGGGCAGTCCTGCTACCAGTAATTACCCAAGTCCTCCCGCAATCCCGCTCCCATCGTGTACCCTGGCGAAAGTGGTGAAGTATGCACGCACATCTCTGCTATAACGCAGGACATGATTGGACATGTCTCATCTGCAGGCACCTGCAGCTTGGAGGAGCGTTGCTCTTCCTTCCACGCCTGGCTGGCCCAAACGCAGGAGTTCGGGGGAGACATGCGGACAAAGCCGGCTTCTGTTTCACATTGCAAGTATGGGATAGTAGCGCGCAACACAGGGAAGGCCCAACACAAAAAGGATGATTCTGCGGGGCTTTCAATGGGGCAGGGCCTGAGCCTTCGCGAGACAGGCCCATATGCACAGCCACCTGCCAGGTCGATGGTCTCATGATGTCTTAAGCATTTTGGCCAGCAGACAATCCCAGCCACTTCTTCCACGCATCGGCCACTTTAGTGCGTGTTTATTGGTAGTGGCTCTCAACAAGCAGCACCAACAAACCCAAGTCTGGGCTCCCGAGCTGCTTGACCTCTTCTGTTTGTTAACGGGCTACCAGAAACCTGGCATCACTTTTGCAATGCTGGCCCTGAGCATCAGGTGTAGTGCAGCCCACTGACAGGTCAATGAGATATACTTCACCGCCCTTGTCTGAGCTAGGACCAAATATGACAGGCATGCGCCCATCTCTGGCAAGTCGCTGCAGAGCACCTGCAATGAGCGGATTGAAATCTCGCGTGGGGATGCTTGGTATGTGCTGTGGGGCCCTGGCCGCGTAGCGCAGAATTTGCTCATTGACGGCGAGAACTCGACATTGAAAATTGCGGAAAAGGCTGCCGCGACAGTAGCCTCAGAAGCTGAACCGGGAAAATCGAGTGGAACCACTTGCTCAATGAATGCTTCCTTCTGCTACCATGACAGCTGAGGGGCCATGCAGCACCAAATCCTGCATCACATTAAGCAGAAGTACCAGGGCCAAACTCCGGGGAAGCATGCCTAGTTGTGACCACTTATTGACCTCTTACGTTTGATGGTCTTTGTATACTTGGTTTGTCGAGGATTTTTTGTTTTGCTTGCTTCTTGTTTTGGACTTGCGAGGGGTTACGCCGATTTGGGAACGCTGAGTTAGGAGACTTCGACTCTTACGCTCGCACGCTTTGGAGGTTGATTGCCTGGAAGGCATAGACGTTTTAGAGAGACCCTGTTTGATTGTTTTTAGGGTTCGGCTTTGGTTTGTGGAATTGAGGGGCTACTTAGGGACTTAGGGATCAAAGCAACTTCTGCCACTCCCTCGTGACATACTCTCACTCTCTCGCTCTTTTCCATAGCTTCTGTTCATCCATCGTCATGTCGCCCCAACAAAGATGCCAAAAACTCTGGGACTGAAACTCCCCTAGAGACACTGATGCGCTAGAATCCACCACAGGCGCATCCTCCTTGTGACAAACAACCATGTACAACCATCACAAGTAAGAACGGCAAACAGGCAAGCATGCTACCCCAAGTGCTAGGCAACTCGTGCGTACTACCAACCCCTTCCGAAACCCACGTGTGTCGCATCAAGCATGTTTGGCCTCGCCAGGCTGTGGCTCTTGTACTGTTTCCACCTCCTCAACACAGGCGCGTCGATTCACTGGACTCCAGAAAGGCCCCGGTGAATCGACCATGATTTCATTTCCTGCGTTTCCGCAGCTCGTGCTCACGGTGCCAGTCCTGAGGCTCTTGATTTCTCGGCAGCCCCGCAGCGACTTCGGAGGAGATTCGGGCGATGGTGACCTTGGAAGGGGCTGCCTTATTCTCACTGCGCAGGTCTGAAAGAGATTGAGAGACTCAAAGCATCTCGAAGCCCTGCAAATCCGACACTTGTGGGTCTGGGATGGTCTCGGCAAGAAACATGTGAGCCGCATAACACCTACTTGGGAAGCGCTCCGGAACTAATCCGATCCGCGAGTCCAAGAGTCATAAGTGTGACTCTGCAGCGAATCTGCGCCACCCAGCTTCGCACAGCTCACATTTTTCAGCCGCAGCTGCCTATCTGTAGAGACCCACAGATGGTTGCATCACATAACTTGTGATGAGCTCAGTTGGAACTGTGGTGCTTTCTCGTGGGCGTTGTTGCGAACATCGAACATTGGGTCAACCGAAAAATGACAAGCCGAAGCATCTCGAAACCCGAAGCACCAGGGACCACGCTGAGGTGAGACACCTAAGCCATGTGCCTTTGGCATGGCCTTACGCCGAAACACTCGGCTGTGTTTTTTTTCAACTTTCGTCACTCAGGCATGGCTTTTCTCACAAGCGCTTCATACTCATCAATGTCGAGGCGGTCATCGCCTAAGCTTGTCGTGCCAACCCTTTGGTGCATGACAGGCATCAAAACTATCCTTAATACCCTCCAGCCCCCACACGTCAGCTGTTCTGGCTGACCGCCTCTTGTCTGCCCTGACATGAGTGATTGAACGGTTGAGATGGCCCAGTGATGAGTGCAGCTGCAGTCACCATTCAAGTCTGCAGCACGAAAGACCTGCGCCACCTTCCGGACTGACACATGCTCGAAGCAACGATCCATACAAGTGCACAAATGGATATGCCTCTGCTTGTTCACAATTGCGACAACCACAGGAGCACTGGCGAACCGAATAGTACTAAGTGGGAAGAAGGGCCTGCTGCGAGGTCATGTTGACCCCAAGCGTCTGCAGGACTGCTTCCAACTCATTGAATTCGATGAACCCTGGGCAAAGCGAGCGGTTCGACACAGCAGCTGGCAATCCCGACAAACCAAAGCAACTTGACGTACTGAAGCAAGCAAGTTGTTGTTACTTCTCAGGCAGCAGCCGGATTTATTGAGGTCTATTGCTCTGAAGGCCGCTTGGAACTTCAGTCTCATCTCAGCCTTACGGCAACTGTCTCTGCCTCAAATTCTAAGTGAAGTCTCTGCTACCTAGCTCCTTAGCAGCTAGCACCTGGACACTTCATTAATAGACATGAGATACAAGAGATGTAGCAGCACTTCCTGCCACACAGACATGAGGACGTGCTGAGCTGAAAGCACCATCCATGACTGCTTGCGGGCCAGCCTCACCAAAGGTATCACGTCGGGTGATCAGGACATGCTGCAGAATTAGCCAAGCGGCCATAGTAGATTCGAAGCCTTCCACCTGCATTCGCGCCACTCATGGGAGTACATGGACGACGAAAGGAGAAAGCACATGACCAGTTCCGATGGCATTCCAGAATTCATGATATAGTTAGCACTTCGTCATTCGTGGAAGTGGCAACTCTTGATGCGCACTACATGAAGCGTTGGCATTCAGATTTGCAGCACCGACAATGCTTTAGTTTCGATGACATCGCATTCTAGAGCATCTTCTTGCATAGCACATCATCTGCTGCTCCAGATTGCAACATCTGTTTTTCTCCCGTGAGGAATCTGGACCACTTGCTCACGTTTGTAGCCTGTAGCCAGCTTGAGCATGTCATGCGCCCGGTCGCAGGTCGCATTCTCTGTGTTTGATGGAGTTTGGGGAAGTGATCCAGCCAAATGTTCAGCTCAGTAACCCTGACATGCGGAGGCTGTGCAGTTGGCACGAAATCACAACTAGTAGTTCATCATCATCATCATCGTCATCATCATCATCATCATCATCCTTTCCACCATTCAACAAAACAAAGAGGTCTTGTCTGATGTATAGTATAGTCTTCTTAATAACTTATAGACCTATGCATTTCCAGGCAGGAGCATTGACAACTTTTGACCGCTTGCTACCCCCGAATATTGGGCAGTGTGTCATGGAGTTAACGCAATGCGGATCCCCTACGCTGCATGCCTCCTGGCACAAGTAAGGCGTCTTCTGATTTTTGCTTCCAGGCGATGGAGGGGTCAATATGCGCAAGCTTCAGCTAAGCAAGTCGTTTGGCCGCGATCGGCCCTGCGATGCTTACAACGGGCTAGGCTAAAAGACAATTATTTTTGGGTCCGCAATAGGGTATGTTTCGAACTGTCTGTTTCTGGAATGCACCGAATTCTCAGACAGAAAAGCTTGGTCTGAGGGTCTGTGACCGATTGGGAGAAGCCTCGACACTGCTCTTGTACAGCCCTTCTGGCATCGCAATTTAAGAATACGACGGAGCCTCCGCAGAAGCGATGGCGCTTGCTGCAGCTTCTTTCAATCTGGCAAGCTCCTCTGCCAACACGAAGGCTGTCGATTCACCAATTGGTCTCGCTTACTGAACTAGTGATTCGCTGAATCCACTGATCAAGTTTCCAAGGGCCAAGGGTGTGTCCTGAGCAGACAGGGTCGCCAAGGCGGACGTTATCTCTGCAATTGAGGCTTGGTCCAAAGCCTTTCCGTCACTTGTGGTGCGGTGGCATGTCATTTTATGGTGTGTTCGGTGCATGTACATGCAGCAAGGTTCGGCGCTGAACCACCCCACCAACATCAAGCAGGCCTGAACAGCTGAACAACAAGCCAAGACACTTTGGCAAGACCGCCAAGCCGGTCACCAAGCACATCGCTTTTCTCGGGTGCTTCGGAGATACCTCCACACAAGTGTGCTTGAGTGGTGGGACGGGTGAGCTCAAGCGTACACACATGACGCCTGCTACAGCCAGCTTCACTCTGGCAAGCTCCTTGCAAGCGAACAGACTTTCGAAAGAGTTGCATGTCATTCCTGTCAAATGTCTGAAGCATCCTCAGCAGACATGGCCGCCAAGGCTGCCTGGATCTCCGTAGCCGAGGCCGCGCTGAAAGCCTAGCCGTGGCTGATGGTACAGTGCCAGTGCTATTTCGACAGGCATATTCGAACCATGATTGTGCTTCGTCAGGAAAGCCCAAGCAGCTCAACAACGGCCAAGAAGCGCTGGCAAGAATGCCAAGTTCCGCAGCTTTCTTAACTCTGGCAATCTCCTCGCCACACAGAACATCAAAACAGAAAGCATCACAAGCATCGTAACAGCTTAGCGCAAGCTGCTAGAGCTGCATCCTCGGCAGACATGGCCGTCAGGGCTGTCGTTATGTCGGCAACTGAGGCATTGTTGAAAGCCTGGCCAGCTGGTGGGGTGGCAGGCAAGGTTACGGTTACATGAGTGAATCGATGCCGCACCCTCATGAACAATTGCGGTTTCGACAACGATGCCTCCACATGAGTCGATGCGCCAGCACCTTTTTTTTCAACACAGTCCAACCTTTCTGATTGCAGTCCTGACTCACTGGCCACACCGTAGTTACCTTTGTAACACTCACGTCGACCAGTGGGCTTGAGGTCTTGGCCCATGATGGCTCCGGCAAAAGGGGAGCAACAAGGGGGCGTAAAGCTTGAGCAGCTTTGGCTCTTGATCTGGCCAACGAAGCTTCAATGAAAATTTAGATTATTTGTCTTGCTGAAGTGGTGTTAGATCACTTTGTTTGGTCATTGGGCCTGAGCTGAAGTGAAGACATCCTTTTTTGTCATAATTGTGGTTCTGGAGCGAATACTGTTAAGAACACTCTTTGCACTTTTTTGGGTCTTGAGCTATGGATAACTCGAATAGTTAGGTTGTGAAAGTGTTTTAGATTCATATTTTTCCGATTTTTTGAAGCGAATCATTAAATCACTTTTTGCGAGTTTCAGAACTTTTCAACTTGGCCAGGCTTCTTTCAAATCAAAATTGTTTGTCATTAATAACCCAGAAAAGGACTGCTGCGAGCGGTTACGACGGTGACGATGGAACGCTGAATTTACAGCGTTGCCCCAGCTACAGGCTCCCGGCATCGGCACTGGCCAGCGCAGCAAAGCCGAGTGCAGGTGACGGTGTCAGACTGTGCCCCGGCTGGCCCGCTGCCTGTCCCCACAGAAAGCATGTATGGCCTTCGCACACTCGTGGTTCGGGCCTCGAAGGTGCAGATGGCATTGCAGCAAGCAGCCTGCACAAGCATCCAAAGTTCAACGAGCATCCGCGCAAAAAGACGAAAGTGAAACATCTACTTACCTCGCGAGGCAGCTTACCTCGTCTGGAAGCACGTGGCGGCATGTGATGAGGAACAACAGACCCGGAAAGCGCTCCTGGCAAAAATGGCAAAGGTCCAGGCATGCGTAACGCACAGTGCAGGACAATGCAGCGTCACCGGCACTGTGCGCACGAGGTCCAAAATGGTCCAGTCCAAATCATTGCCGGCATCGCCGGGAAGACTCCCAAAAAACCTGTGCCTACCTTGGCATGCCACGCACTGCATCCAACGTCATGCAATGTGGCGCGGTCACAATCCCGTCACCAGTTTTGAAATTCGGCAGTTCACAAGAAAGCTTGAGCTTTGCAAAAGCGTGGCTCACCTGGTAAGATGGGAACTATACCCTCGACATCGAGTTCGATGATGCAGACCTGGCGTTCAAGGGGCAAGCAGAACGTCCTGTACATCCCCGTTGCCACACGGCAGTGCTACTGCCACATGTTCGGAGATGTTCTTAGGAAGCCGCTGCGGAGCCCAAGCGCTGCAGATGGTGTGAACTTTCGTCCTCCCACCAATTGGAGGGGTTCTGCCCGAGAGCACGTGGGTCGACGACGGCCAAGGGGTTTTTGTAGGGAGTGAGAATCATAGCGAGCGGCTCAGCTCTTAACAGTGCAGAACAAGATAAAGAGGCGACGTCAGAGACTTTTTGCTAGCGGATTCCAGTGGTCCTGCATGCCTCATTGTTGCCCAAATTGTAGGATCCCGAGCCGTGGAAGGACGAAGCTGGTGGTTCTCTCGAAGTGTCACCGGTCGCTTACGTACTGGCATGCTCATGCACATGTATCTGCATGCCATGTTTGCTTGCATTGACAAGAAGATACGACACTGCGAGCCCGCAGCTCGATAACTCGATACACAACCTGAGCCTGCCAACTGGACCTGACCACAGGGCTTACATTTTCATTTCGGGTTTTGGATCGTGCCCCGATGGTTTTGGCCACTCTTATGTTAGGATGTCTTCCAACGCGCACGTTCCCGAAATTCCCAGATTGGGTGGTCGTTGCTCAGCATCTAGACACCTGCGATATGGAAGACAGCCGATCCGCTTTTTTTACAATCGCAAGCGCGTGCTCTCACTCACACACGGCTCGCAGCTCTGACTCCGAGACGAAGCTGGCAAACCTAGGCGCATTGCGTTGTGAGCGGCCGAGATGGCTTCATTGATGGACAGCTGTATGGCCTTGCGTGATCTTGCGTAGGCATGTCCGAGGCCCAGGCTGGGACGTCTTCCTGTTCGTTTGCTTCGGAATGGCCTCCGCCGCCTTGGCACATGGAGGCAAGTTCCGGCATTCCGCGGCAGACCATCGGCGTAGTCGTACTTCTAATGCATGATAATTCAAACGAAGCTCATGCTTGAAAACCCTTAAAGGCCAGCATCAACTTGTTCACCTCATTTGACATGTCAATTTGTTGGTGTTTAGCAAGCTCGTGCTAATTTGGTATTTGCCCATGCGGCGAGGAGTTTGTACAAAGGAGTGGGCGAACAGTACAACAGCAAAAACTACCAACAGCCCTGTTGCACCTTCACGTCAAGGGCGTCGGTGCGTCACGACCACCACAGATCGAAAGAAATCTGTTGCTTTGCTATCTTTGCCCAATCAAGATTACCCAATCCGGTCCTACGCTGGAAACAGATGCCCGATGTGATACCAGTAAATGCAGAACATTGCAGCCAAGCATTTCCCAACAAACTTGCAGAGTTTTGAGCTGATGCCAAAGACTCTCTCATGTCTCCAAGCTCCCTTTCGGATCACGAAAGCCCTCGTTTGAACAGTTGTGCCATAGTTTTCTCAACATGTCTCGGCTGTGTTCGTCAGCCGCTGTATGCCGCAAGCACAAGGGCCAAACGCTGAGATGCGCAAGAAACTCCGTTGCCAGCCACCGTTGTGAGTCCTGTTGGTCATGTTGTTCTATGCAGCTGAGCCTGCTCCGATCACCATGGCAGTTGCAATGCTATGCTATAGTAGATACGTGCTGTTGACTGCATCGTTTGGTGTGGACATCGATATTTGTGTACCCCCCAACTCCTTGAACGGGAACAGCTCTGCAATGACCTCGTTCCGCTTTGGGATACTCGAGGGCAGAACCTGAGCAGCGAGGCTGCACAATCCCCACATTCCAAGTTCTCTGAGTCAAGGTGCCTTTGCAGCACTCACCAGCGCTGGCGAGACTGAGCAGCTGATGCCCTGGAAATGCCACGCAAGCGACACCTGAAACATGTTGTGCAAACGATGAAGTGAAGTAACAGGGACACACGACAATGAAAGTCACTGAAGTGAGACCCGCTTGAGGCTCAGGCCGACTTGTCGGCTACACCGCCGAGGCCAAAGATCCCACCCTCCACGTCAAGGAGGGAGTACAAGCGGCGATGCCTGGCGAAGAGGCGAGTAGCATCTGCTGATTTCCAGCCTTCTGCATTTCAATACTCTTCGCCTTGCCGGCACGCGACTCCGGGGGGCAAGCGAGGGGTCAACACACCGCTTTAAGGTGAAGGCCTTCGAAGGAGCAGGGCAGCTTCGCGCAGGAAGCCCAAAGCTGCCTGGAAACTTTGGAATGAGACTCCAATGAAAGCTCACATGAGAATCCTGCGTTCTACAGTAGAGTCTAGAGCATGTTGACAGAAGACCCCAGATTCAGACGGGAGGCATGGCAGTCGGCCGTTAACGAGATGGACAGCAGCTGCTCAAGCAGCGCAGCCAAAGCCTCACGTGATGGCACTGCCAGTCGCTGCACCCTCACGCTGGAATATGCAAATCCTCGTAACCGCCGGCACTCTGCCGGCTCGCCGTTTAAATTCCAGGACTGATCTCAACTGCAACAGGCTGCCACAGGCTTTAAGCCTTGGACTTCGCCCCCCCAGCAATCCCTCAAAGCATCCCAGAAACCCTTCCTTCAATGCCTGACACATCCTCACCTTGAACCGGAGCCATGCGATAAGTGTGACCAGATGAGCAAATCCAGAGAGGGGAGTTGTCCGCTCCCGTTGCAGAACCCAGGTGGCCAGCATGCTGTCTTGGCCATAAGCGATTTGATTAGCCAGGACAAGTCCATGCTATCATGCCTAGCATGCTGCACAGCGAAGAAGTTTCCAAGGCAGCGGCGGCGTCCGATGCCGTACTGTAGCCCTGAGGACACCTGTGGCCGGGGATTGGAAGTTTGTAGTCTGCGTTTGGGCGTTTAAGGATATGCGTTCCCCTCCGTGGTATCCCCCCTGAAGCCCTGACCGTCAAACCCTACTATAAGGGGGAGATGATAAACCCCAAAAGCAGGCACCTCGTGACAAACAAGAGTTCTGACAATCATCGTGGCAAGCATAAACGCCATAGTGAACCAAAGCACACATCACCAACAACAAAACAGATCACAAGAACACTAGCGGTAAGAACCAGAATCAACAGCCATAGTTCATGGAGGGATTCTGGTGCTGTTTGCCACCCGTCCAGGTTAGAAGCAGAGGCCGCAGGACTGCTATCTGCTTGTCTCTGTTTCGATGCTCCACCATGTAACTGTAGCAAAACCAAGAATAAAACCATCGCTGTTTGTTGAGTGTTTCTCTTTCCCCCCCGCCCCGCCCCTGCCCGTGGGCTTTGCCCAAACCACCTCCTCCATCTGCAGCCATGCGCCGTTCATACTTTCGTAAGGTTGCAAATACGACAGCTACAAGCGCAAGCATCATGATCTCGACACAGCACTGCATGGTTCTACACACCCGAAGTACGCAATTCAATACATGCCTCTCGCTCGTCCTTGCGGCCCCGTGTTCCATGTGGGTTTTCGTGCCGCGGTTGTGACATATTTTTAACATGCAACATCTGCTGCTGCCTCAGCGCTGCGTGTAGGCATCGCAGCACTAAAGCTGGAACCTCCAGGCACGGATGTGCGCAACATCGAACTGGAGAGGCGCGTGCAAGAATAACATGTCTTCAAAGGTCGTCGGTCAGACTGTGTTGAGAAGCACATGATCTTGGCTCAGCATACTGTGCACGCTTTGCTTCCGCCCCTGATTCTAGCACGCCCCAGACAACAAACGTTGAAGCACCCATTCGGCGAGTATGTTCCTCACCACCTATCCTACAAGCAACAGCCGAGTCGTCACAGTTTGTTGCTTAGGTCTGGGCACTGTTGCCTTCCATGGCTTCTGCAAGATCCTTACGGGCACCCGAACAATGCGAGTCGCACGAAGTCGCCTGCTATGTCCGGATTTGCAGAACTGCACTCTGCTGCCATGACAGCTGAAGGAACATGTGCAAGAAGCGGCCTTCTCTGAAGTCACGACCTGCGCCACGATTGTTGCCGGATGTGCGCCAGTCTTGACCGGTCCCTTCTGTCAGGCCTCGCCGTCCTCGTGTTCCAAGAAGCATCTGGGAGGTGGCCACACAGGACCCTGCAAGCAAGTGACAGGTGTGTGTGTGTCTTTCAACCTTAGGGTCCCTTCTTCGGGTCCCCTAATATAGTACAGCACCCTCAACATAAGGACCCCAAAAAGGGACCCTCTCTCTCTCACAGGCGCTCAGTCAATGTCAGGCCTGTCGTGGCATCACAGCCAGCACAAAAGAGGCAATGGCCCGCGACCACTGCACTTACAGGAAACAGCGACTCAAATCGGCAGTGGCTCTTTGACCACCGCGCACACAGACCGCTCTTGCATGGCACTTACTCGCACTTGCCCATCAGCATCGACGAACCCTGTCCCCGTGAGAAGCAGGAACCGACTCAATCACGAAAACGCAATCGAAGTAGAAACGCATAAGATGTTGCACACATTCCTGCCATCGTTCAGTATCCGTGACGACAGTAAGCTGCACGACAAAAGGGGGCACTTTACCCAGCAACCGAAGCCAGCTAAGCCAAGAAAGAACTGCGCTGGTAAAATCATCGTCAGCGAACGATAACTGCATCCAACCTTCCTGGACATCCAGCCACTTGAAGTGAAGCCTTCCCTCTTCTCTCCAGCAGAAAACAGCACGGAACCAAGCAACCGCAGCATTGTAACAAAAAGGGACCCTAACCTAGAGAACTACCCCTATTTCCAGGAAAGTCAGGAACCGAACCATGAACCGTGGAGGGGGTGCAGGCCGTGAGCCACACCCTCCTGACACGAACCGAACATTCTTGTTGTTCGTGGCAATACAAGGCAGCAAAGCTAAACACAACCCAGCTGCATAGACAGACGACAACGCGTGCACGGGCCAATTTTCCAAATCAATATGGAGTGCCGACACCCGTCTTTTTCAGGTCGTCAGCATGTTACAATCTCACATCTCCACGGCAGAAGTTCTTTGGCGCGGCAGGCGCGCATTGCCGTGCAGAATGCAGATTTCCTGCTGATCTGTGATGATTATGCTTGAACCCAGTTCAAACAGCTCTTGGCAAGCAGCTTTGCGTGATGCAGGATGAGGTCCAGTGTGCCGAGGATGGGCAAAACCAAGAGGTGGTCTCTGGGTGCTTCCTGACAAAGGTCGAGCCCAATCATTCACGAATACAATCATGCTTTCAGGTTTTATGCTTTCGCAAATCAGCTCAACTCTGTCTTTTGTCACGGCATTCCTGCAAGGAGAACTGCCGCTCTTGCAGGGACACAGATGCCTCAGTTTGCATTGGAACTGGTCATGCCATAAGATGCCAGATGAGAGCTACAGCATCGGACAAGGGGCCGAAAAATGGGTGGCGTTCGATGTGGGCGTCCCATTTGGCCACGGTATACGATCCACCAGCCAATGCTCCTGATTCAAAGCTCATGCGGGTGGCATGCAAATGCAAAGAGCAGGCGCATCAGGTGTCCGATGCCGTTATGAGCTAGCCGAAAGTCGGTGAGTGGGATGAGTTACACAGGTGAGTTGAGTTGGCAGATCCAGCGATTATAGCTTTGGAACAATCATACATTTGAGCATAGGCGCGGCATTCTGCACAGCCGGAAGCAGCCCAGCTGTCCAAATTATCTTGAGAGCAGAGAACACAGTCTCCAAAGCGCAGAGCCAAATGATGATCCAAGTGAGCCTGCCCCCCAGTCATGATGCTGAGGCTGGCTAGGTCTAGGTGTCAACTGCCGACAGCTTCTCGTGCTCTGCCTTTGGCAGTCGATCTTCTAGAATTCTTGGAAGACCAGGCCTGTTCCCCTGCCTTTCATCCAATTTGTCCTGGAGCACATCAAACATGTCCTCAAGCACCTGCGACAGGCAACCTATATTCCAGAGCGCGGTTTACGTACTCATGTCACGGTATGTTACGACTCCGCAGGTTGCAGAACCATCTGCTCGCCGCCGCTCTGGAACCGAGATTGAAAGAGTAGTCGACATATCCTACTGCAGGGGCCTCGAAGCGTTGATTGACGATGTTGATTCGCCGGTCCACATCTAAATGCTGTCTCGCATAAACATAGATGGGCTCCTTCAAGTCTGCAAATTCTGGCAAGGGAAATGGTATGTAATTGCCAGGGTGATGAATCCGTCCACTGCTGCTGAGATGCTGCTTCTTCAAACTCCCAGAACACATCGGGGGTGTCAAGAGTGTCGAACTCAAGATTCACCTGCCGGCTTTGTTCAGGGCACAACGAAGCAGGCACCATGAAGCCGTAAACAAGCTCGGAGCCAGGACCTGATTCTTCAAGGTGAAGAGCTCCCCCATCATCTTTGCCACGCGACGGCTGCTCAGCAGCACCCGGCCTTTCACTTGAATGGCACTTAGTTCGACCGTGCATTTCGTGGCCGCGAATAGGTGAAAGTAACTCTGATAGAGGTGAAAGTATGGTTTGCTGTCTGTACAGCACCGAGAACACATATTGTGCCTGTGCGCGCCATGTCTTCTGGAATGGTGCGTGTGGCAGCGATCCACTCATCGATACGTTGCTCCCAGTAGCCTTTGGTGGCGACTTCTCCCCAAGACATTTGCGATCAAGATTTCTGTTTCGCAACTTGCAGACTCAAACAAGCTCTGCCATGCAGCTGAGTCGGACAGACTGCGCCAAAGAGTAGGCAATGGCGATTCGCTCCTGGGCCTGTGCGGAAAGCCACGTTTGCTCTGGGATGTTTGACACATTGATCATGGGCCAGACAGATAGGAAGCATTTTACGAGTAGCTTGCTTTCATGGAGATTCAGAACGTTGTGCGCAAAGGCGGATAGACTGAACGGGCCATACGGGCCAAAGCTCCCACTAGCTCGATATCAATATCCGCTACTGCACTCTACCTCCCGCCTTGTGGCACACGGGCAGCGCATCGCCCCCAGCAATGTTGAGGTGGTCGACTTCGATTTGTACTGGGGACAAAGGCTCCTTCAAGAAGTTCCGCACAGACTCCCGTGCAGCTTGGACCTCTTGAGGAGTGCAGCCCCAGCATACGAGGCAGCCGAAGGAGAAGACAAAACAGTCTTTTTCGTCAACCTTCAGCAGCGCGACATCGCTGTGGAAACGAATGACCTGGGAGTCTCTCTCTTTCTTTCCTTCAGGGGATTTCAGGGGATTGAAAGACGAGCCCGAGCGTGCTCGCTCTCTTCCGTTCTCTCTCTCTCTCTCTCTGTCCCTCCCCTTCTTCGACCACCCTCGTCTTCTTCTACTTCTTCTTCCTTTTTGTCGAGTCGTGCCGGCAGAGGGCATTCGAATTCTCACCCCCCCATGGCCCAAGGCCGCGAACAAGTCAGTCAACCAGGAACATGAACATAAACAATCAACTCCCATTGCTGGCAGCAGGGCAGGTCGCGGCGATGTGTGCGGCAATCGCCTGAGGCTGGCCTGAAAGTTGTTTGCATGCCAACTGCACACATCACAAGATGACACATCGACAGTTCTACTGCCGAACACTTTGAAAGTCGCTACGTGAAAGCAGCCACAGCGCCTTCCAGTTGTCGGTCAGTGCCTGTATGTCCAGGCTGTTGGCGAGGTAGTAGGCAAAGCACCAGTCCTGGCGTTGCGGCCAGGTGACCAGAATATCCAGAATCTATCGATGCGGCAGGCAAAGCTCTTTCAACGGCCAAAACGGGCCAAAACATGCCAAAACGTTCGCAAGTGTGTGCATCGATTGTATGGGGGATAGACTTGCCATGCAGCCCTGCGACGTGTCCTCATTGGGTTCTGTTGGTGCAGGGTCCCAGTTGCTCCTGAGCAAAGCTCTCCACAGCTTGGACCTCTAGTCGCCCCTCCTGTGCGTACCATCAAGACATGGCCCGGAGAAGTGTGGAGTGGAGCAGTCCAGGCAAGTACTCCCTACTGCTGTCACACAGTGCATTTTCCTAACTATCGGGGAAAACAGGTGAGAAAAGTCACTTTTCGCAAAAGAGTATAGCGCGCACCAAGTCCTAACATGATTCGCAGAGCAAGGTTGCCTGACGCGTGTGCTGGAGCGCTGAGCTCCAATGGAGGCCGTTCGCCTGCCACCTGCGAGCCACCAGTCGTGGCAGTGCTTGCCGGTTCCATGCCGAAGGGCGTTATATGGGTGAATGCCATTGAACATGTATCTGGATTCCTACAAATCCGCTGTCTTTTGTGGCTGCAAGAGTATGAACGGTGAGCGCAAACCACGAAACGGCAGTAATAAGTATTTAAAACATGCTCCATGTACTGCGACCTCGTGGCACCGAAAGGCTCCTCGAGGTGCCAAGTGACGTGGCCCTCGCCAGGCCTCAGCACAAGCAAAAGCTGAATTTCAAAAGGACCCTGTTTGCTTAAACTGTGGGCCGTTCCTACGTTTCCTGCGCTGCCAACTAGGTTGCTTGGCTTCTGCATTCAAACTGACACGCACACGACCATCTGGTTCCAGCACATGTGCATCCGATGCCCTCTTTTTTCGTAATTGAGCCCTCCCTGAGCTTATCGTAGCATGCGCAGCCGCAGCAGCAGCAGCAGCAGCAGCAGCAGCAGCAGAGGCAGAGCGATAATTGAGTCAAGCGTGTGGCCACTGACATGTCAGTGATGTCAGCATCGAGCCGAAAGATGTAAGCCCCGTGCTGGCAGGCTGGAGACGTCCCCGCCGAACTGGGGGCTCCTCGTGGGTCAAGGCTCGCATCTTAGAACAGTCGGATATTCTCCACTTGGGAACTCGGTCGTTTCAAATCATCAGCACTTCCCGCAGGCGAACATAACAGTCAAGCCAATCTGAAGCAGTCTTTAGCCGAGCCTGGCGCCCGATTCCGGCTGCGGGGCGGTCACGCCGCCCAGCTCCCGGGTTTGGAGCTCTCTCACGAGGGCGGACCATGGCCGGCAGAATCACAACAACACCGCTCTGCGCAGTGCAGGAAAATCCGGAAAGTTCATCTCTCATCTCATAAGTACTTCTGTTGGAAGGTATACCGAGTCATTCATCCGTTCCTGATCTGGCATCTTCATGTGCAGGTGGGATGCAGGCAACACTCGATCCTCACAGGGATGGTACGCCATACAGTGCTGCCGAAGTGCCAGCGAGTCTAACTTGAATGCTGGCGCGTGCGAGATGGGCGGATGTCGCATCATAGGGTTCTTAAGCTCACAGTATCGACTGTGTTGATTGGTTCGCTTCACGGTGCACACAGGCGACAACCGGTGGCAGTTGGCTTGCGTATGTTATCTACATACATGTACGTAGCAGACGTAGCATGCTGGGGCAGAAAGTGAGCTGGCTCTTAGCTGCACTTTGCATTGCGTGTCAGCAGTGCATCCGGTCCATATCCTGCCTCGGAGTGAACAGAGTACATCGATGGCAAAGCCAATGCCAATGCATCCGTCATCGAGTCCGAGAGCCAGCTCACATCCGTCAGCAAAGCCTTCGCGGAACATTGCTGCAGATGAAACTCAAGTCATACCAGCCGATGAGACAGATCCTTGCGGCTCAAACCAAACTGGGAGTCGGGGAAGCACCCAACTCCGCAAAGTGCTGCACCCGGCCGACGCAAAAGAACATCTCGGCTGATTGTAACATATTGTAACCCACTCTCCCAAACATGCAGTAGAATTCAGCAGAGTTTATGTGAACTTCAGGTTGTGTCCACTTCTCGGCTTCTGATAGATGTAATCTCCGGCCTGGGAAGGCCCGCTCAGCAGCACCAGTGCGCAGTTGAGGCCTTGCACCGCTCTGTGTGGCTGTTAGACTGTTTAACTAAGAACATTCCAAACTCGGCACAGTTGTTTTTAAAATTCGGCACTGAAAGGTTGCAGCGCAGCAGTTTCCTTGGCCGTCCTAGGCACCTGGCCATGCAACGCCACCAGTTCGTCAGCCCTGGCAATAGCATCCTGAGGTAAGCTCATGGACCAGCCATCCAGCTCAAAAAGCAAGCCGCGAAACTGCCGTCCAAGGCCATCCTAGGTAGTCCGTGCCTCAGATGTCATCGAGGGTGGCATTTGGGGTATCATATGTGAATCCCCATGCCAGCCTTGACTGCCAGGCGAAGCTCTGACAGGATCTCGAGGAGAAGCTCCAGGTTCACCTCTGCCGGGTTTTGAGACAAGGAAACCGATGTAAACTGAATGCAAACAATGGTGAACATCATAAACACCATCTGATGCTTCGCCGCCCAGTGGTGCCTGTTGTCCCCAGCGCGCAAGGCCAGTAAGGACGGTGCCCATCAACTCCCGGCCTTCTTTCTGTCTCAGGAGGTGCGAACTTGTCAACTTAGTCTGCCTCTTTCATGAACGGACGCTTGTGCCCACGCCTATCAATACGTCCATACGGTATCATACGTTGCTTGAAGCTGTGATAGTCTCGTTCAGACTCTGGGGTCAGGTCTGTGCAAATGCCGCTGCCGCAGGATGCGGAGGTAGACGACGAAGACCTTCCGAACAAAGGAAACGCATAATTACCCTGAGCCGGATCGAGCAATGCTGTGGAGTGACCAACAGGGCCATTTTATTTGGTCTGTAGTTTCAAGAACTGCTCCAGGAAACCGACAATTGCGCCTCATAGAGAAGCTCACCCTCGCGCTTTCGCAGCTGCTCGGCACTCAGAGTAATGGATGCCTTCCGTTGAGGAATGGAGCACTGCTTTGTTGGTTCTGGAATGTACAGTGCTGCACCGCCCATCCTCAGCCAAGCCCTTCTTGACATCCTCATCTGCGTTGGACATGTCTCCTGGCAGCTCACAAAATAATTTGCGAGACTCTGCAGATCGATGTGTGCCGAGGCCATGAATTGTGACATCTCGCAACGAAGCCCATGGCAAAATGCTGCAGGGTGCAAAAACTGCAATAAGCAGTCTCGGCAGGCACCCCGCCGAACTTCAGACTCTTAGCTTGTTTAGAGCCTGCAGGCCCGGCCAGTTCAGCAGCATCGGCCCGACCAATAGGCAAGCGCAGGAGAACCTGATGCCATCGTATTGAGGGTGTTTTTGTGTGTTTGTGCATCGGTGAGGACATGAAGGGGCATCATTCGGTTGAGTCTCTCTTTCTCAGCGTCAAGCTCTAAGTCACTAAGTTCTCTGTCCGTCAAAACCAGTCATGAGGCCAACTACCTCGAATTGCTCGAACAGTGTTCCGACGGCTGTGCAGCGTTTCTGCCTGCAGCAGCTCGTAGTGCAAGCCCCGATGTGCTTGGCCGTTGGTCTGTGGGTCCTTCAGGCTAATACGCCGACGGTTGCTCCCGCGGTCACTATGACCGGTATCATGGCAGCCGAGGAAGACCAGCGCTCGCAAAGGAAAGAAAATGATGTTAGAAAGCAAGCGTGCGAGAAATCTACGCTCCTCGGCTCTCGCTGCCTTGGCTTTTCGCCCAGCCATGCCTTGTGCCAAGCGCCCAATAGCCAGCACGGCCTCCTTGGAGCCCTCGGGAAGCCAAGGAAGCCAGAGCAAAGCACGTCATCTACCCGGAATCTGCAATCTACCCTGTTTGAAGAGCCGGCTACTAACACTGTTGAATCCCAGAGTAAGGGCAAGAGGACACGCTTACAGTGCAAGAGTGCCTCCAGTCTCTGGTCGGACCCCACCATCTCCTGGAAAGTTTCTGTATCAATTCAATCAGACACTTCGGAAGTGACAGATTGATTTCTGCGACTCGTGGCACCGCTGACAGCAACAAAGTTTTGTCAAGTCCTGAAGTCCAGCTACTAACGGTGCCCGGACGTCTTTGTCAGGACTGTTGCAATGCCTGATTGCGTGCACAAACACGCAAGGTCATGGTGCAATGCATGTCTGGTCCAGAGTGAATCTGCACACCCGCTACGAATGTCTCTGCAGACCAGTGCTGCCGCGCCAGGGACACGGCTTGATGGCCGTGCCAATCAGGCGCTGCCGATAGTTGAAATCGAACGCAGCCTCGACCGAGGTGGACATGGGCAGAGAGAATCTGAGGATATCTGAGGCCGCTGTCATCGTGTGATGCTGCTACGTGTATATCTTGATGCATGACTGCTTGAAGTGACCTCATGCTAACGATCCCCATGGATTCTTCACCAAATGGCGCAAACGTCATGTTGTCGGGTTGTACCTTGGACTACTTCAAGCATCGGCCAATCTACTTTCCGGCATGTTCATGCAAATCCGCAGGCTCTGATGGGTCTTGCGAGTCCTCCTCCTCCCAAAACTCCGAACATTAAGGGACAGCCCCGTCTGGTTTGAGCTTGGGACAAAATTTAATCGGCATTTGCAGCGATAGAAGAAATCACCGGCGGAAGGGGTGAAGTACCTACTGTAAAACCTCCCCAGGATCTTCGAGCCTTGACCAGGGCTCCTAGTGCCGGCGCTGTCGCAACGGGGTGGTTCCGCATGGCAGCCTGCCAAAGGGGCTGTGAAGGGTTTGTATTTAGCAGAATTGATTGCCTCTAAAGGCTTGTTGAACCTCCGACTCTCAGAGTGTGCATGACTTTGTCTCCAAACCCTAAATTTTTTAACCGTAAGGCGCTACCCACTGGAAAGTTCAAGTTGAAAACATCATGCGTCGAAACAAGGATTCAGGTTTCTGCAGATCCCTTTCATAGCTCAGAAGTACCCGAACTTGATGACAAGCTCATTGCCAGGTAAGGCCTAGTTTCAAGGTGAGTGGTGAATCACATAGAGAAACATTGGGTCACTGAGCGCTTGCTTTAGGAGAGTTTTGGTACAGGCCGTTGGCTTTTGATGGATGATCGCATTTACTAGTCTTTGTCGCATGCCAACGACATTTTCTCACCCCGCGATTGCTGATCAAACAACCTGCTTCACGATGCTGGGGACATGTGCACTGTACAATTGACCCCAGCTTCTCTTGCCCAGATTGGCTGCAGATGCCTGCACATTATGTTCCGGCTGAAACTTCTCCCAGCCGGAAGAATGGCCCGCCAACAAGCGACACCGCCTTGGTACAAAAGAAAAACAAAACAGTCGAGACGTGTCCAGCGCATTCCTGTCCGCTGGTTGCGCTTGAAGCGATGCAGCTTTCCCAGTCCACATCACATGCCCAAGTTCGGAATCTCGCCTTGCCGTGACAATTCAGCGATGGTCGTCTAGCAAGTGCTAGCTGGGCTGCTCAGATTGTGCTTCATGCAAGTCCTACGACTAAACACCAGACTTGCAAACTTGTGCACTGAAAGATCTTCGGGTCGCTCTGTAGCATTTTGAGAACGCCTCGTAAATCCTGCATGCTTCTTGTTGCTTGCTCAGGTGCTCTCTCGCATCTCGATGGAAGGCTGGGTTTCAAAATCTACCCGACGCGCCGGGGGTGCCCAGGGCACCACGTGCACGAAAGTGGTGACTGCTGCGCCTCGGAAGTTCGGATGTGGTTGCGGTCAGTATGTGCCAAGCCTGATTCAGCATACGGTCTCATCCATCATACAGCAAAGGAGCATTGCCCCTTACGGAAGCGCTTGTAGTTGGGCTTGCCTTCCGGCGGCCGCACCTGCCAAATGGCTCTTGTTCATCGTTTCGCGGTGTGCACGCGTGCCGCTGCTGCCATACAATAACACACGCCTCCGGTGCCCGCTTATCTGCAGTCGTCCACGAAGCACGAGGCAACTCGACACCTGCATGAGTGCGTCGTTGAGCGCCGTTCAATACGTGTCTCTGCAATGCTGCCTTGCACGCGAGGCCACACAGGTCGTTTAATCTCGCTCCAACTTGCCTTCCAAGACAAGTCGATTGGAGACTCGGGCCTTCAACGGATTGAGCCATGTCCTGCAAAGAAGCTAAGTGCTGCAGACCGTAGACATCTGTGGAAGGAATAGATGATTATAGATGGTCCATTTATGCTGGAGTTGACAGGGTCCCAGTCGGGTGCACCACAGGCTCGGCACCATCAATGATGAACTCCTCCTGCGCAAAAACGGGTCATGGAAGTCTCGGACTTGGCAGCTCCGGAGCTCTAGCAAAGTGTACTCGGTGAATACTAGCAAACATGCTCCTGCTCTGCCTTCACCTCTGGAGGAGGAGGAGGATATGTCGAGTGGACGGACTGTAGGGTGCCCGCATTTATCTTTTCTTCCTGCGGGGCGGCACATAAGTTGTGAGCACGTGGACATATGTGACGAGGACACTGGACGTGACGCTCGAACACGTTGTTGCCTGACGTCACAGCTCTATCCCAACCATCTGGCCTGCTTTTGGTCCAATTCTGGCTTTGTCGGCACTGGCGGCACTGTTGCTCGCAAGCTCAAAGTCGCTCGCTGACTTTGCGCCTCCTGCAGAAAGCGATCATGCTGGACGTCAAAGCCAAGTACTTGCAACAATGTAGGTATATGTAGGTATGGGCACGATGGCAATTATGTGCAATTATGGCACTGGCGGTCGCTTGTAACTGAGCCTCGGCAGGCTCCGGCTCGGGCTTTGGCCGCAGCAAGGGCGCGTGACCTGCCCAGCGTGACAAGGAGGATATGCCGCGTATGCCCCTTTTTGATAAGAACTACAACAGAAGGCTCTGGTGCCTGGACCGGGAGCGTGCTCGACACTTCCTCCAGCTCCAGTTCCAGTGGGCGAGGCATGTGGGGGCCCCGGTGAGGGTTGCGGTGGGGGCCCCGGTGGGGCCCCGTGCGAACGCAAGGAGCTCGCAGGCTCTTCGGCTGGCGCTGCCTCCTTGTAGGAAGTTCTATGATTGTGTGTCCCATGTCTCCCGCCTCCAAGCTGCATATCCTAAGGTCCTAAACTTGGGGAGGACCAACCATAGACCCCCTAGCCCCTCCTTGGCAACACCGACCCTAGGCCATAACCACCTACACAACGCCCTGGACCATAAGGGAACTGCTCTGGTAACAGAAATGGCTGTCATCCAACCATCCAGCTGGTTCCTGAGAGAATTCAGCATAGTGGTACTGAATGTTGCACGCAATGGATTTTATAGTGGATGTGCATGTAACGCGTTTTGGCTCTTACAGCCGCCTGTCTCTTCGAATTTGGCGACCAACAGCTAATCGTATGTCTCATTCTTGCATAGGCCACAATGATGTTTACACCCTTGCTTGAAGAAAACACACCATGTGTTTTTACACATGGTTTCGCGCCTCTCCTGGCATCATGGGTGCAACTCGCAGATTGAACGGTGCAACACACTGCACTTGAAGAAGCTGCGTCTTTCTGCGCCGTACACTTAGTGACGCTCACACATCACTCAAACTTTTGTTGTCAAAACATCTTTTCATGTGTAGCAGTTTGGCATTTACTGGCGTGGAGTAGGGTTTGCACACTAGCGATCAACGGCCCATCCATGTGCTTCATGCGAACATGTGTTCCGTAATATTGTACTAGTCGATGACAGGCCAGACTCCTCCATGTTGACATTTGTTGGACAACTAGCACCAAGGTTTCTAAAGCAGCGCAGGCACACGTTCAGGTGGCAGTGATGACAAATTACCGGGCTGCTCCTCATTGGCCTAATTGGTTCCATCGTTTAGCCGTTAAGACCAGAGAGGAACAGATTTGGCTGCTTGAAGGGACTTACAAGGCAGACGATGCTAATAGAATTGTTGATGATAGATCGGAAATACGAGGTATTTGAGTCAAGCAGTCCCAGGGGAAACGTTTGCAATGATGCAGACCTGTTCAGATGCCTAGGCAACATGATCAATTTTGTACATGATCAACTTTGTACATGCAACAAACAACAATGTTAAAATAAGATGCTCACCTACGTCACTCGGACAGGGTGCAGGTGTCGGTTTGCAACCTGCCCCCTGTACATCCTTTCATGGGGCATTCGACGGAGCAAAAGTAGCTGCACATCCGTCACCCCAACAGGCCGCTCATATATCTGCTTTGGGCAATTCCTACTTTGGGCAATGACGGGCTGGTCCCAACTGGGCTGATGACACTAATGCTCGGCAAAGCTAGATGCAGGTTCTAACAAGCTCTGAACCGCTGCGCATAAATCATCTGCCAAGCTTCCCAGGGCAGCGGACGCTTGCGGCTTATTCTGGACTTTCGCTGCTGGAGTGGTGCTTGCTGCTGTGTGGAATCATGCTGCTGATGCGTCTCTGGGAAGCTGTCCGGAAGCTCCTGGAAGCCGGCGATTCACAGACCAAATTGACGCATACCTTTGTATACAAGTAGAGGCATCGTGAACGACCGCTCTCAGAGACTGCAGCCGAGTCTCCGTCTTGGGAATGAGCGTCGCTGCGTGAGTTGCACGTGTCTTCTGCCCTGAGAGTAAGGCAGCTACCACGGCCTTCCGCCAGTCAGCGTTTGCGCGAAAAGAGGGTGGTTTGAGTAAATCATTTTCCCTGATTGTAGATCGGAGGCAATGAATTTGTCACGCCTGCTGGCCGACGACCAAGCACCTCGGGAATCCAAGCAAGTGCCTCCCATCGCCTGCAGTAATACCGCCCTTACAGCCTCCTGACAGTAGGACTCGAGACCTCTCGCAGCTGCACGACATGTTTAGGCTCAAACTCAGGGTGCTTCGAGGTTAGCTAACCAGATGGGCGATGGCAAGCTCGTGGCTGAAGCATCCAAGAAATGTCCTTTCCAATTGGGCCTGCAGTGGCCTGCACATGCCTGCACGAGTAGGGATCAGGGAAGAACATGCTCGCCCAGGCACGGGCACCGAAGCTCGCCAAGCTCCGACAGAAGAGCAGGCAATCCGGGGGGCAATGCCTTGCAGTCGACACTTTTGTGATTTGCAGAAAGAAACACGTAATTACTCGACGGTGCATTTACTCGGCTCTGGTCTGTTTTGAGGTGCGGTGCAGGGATTATCCAAACCTCCTCTGGAGCTCCATGTGACGCGACTCCTGGCCAAGCATCGAGGTAGCTGCAACCTTACCAAGCCTTTTTGTCCTGCGTCGGAACTCCCCGAACCTTGCCTAAGGGCCTGCCATCCACAAGGCGGCAATGCTGCAGTTCTTCGCGCCTCGCTTGAGGTCTTGTACCACGCTGCTGGCCGGTACATCCTGGCCCAAAAGCAATACATAAATCCAACCGAAACGTGGCCGAACAGCTTGCACTGGACAGTCGTGCGCTTAGTGCGAGTCCTGTGTCAGGACAAGCAATGATGCCCCCGCGTGCTCTAAGGGCAGGTGAAGCGTGTCATAGGCCTCCCATTGTGGTGGTCGAATGCGTCACAGGCCACAAACAAGGCTTTTTCTGCCAATGTGGCGATCAAGGCGGGTGCGGCTTCCCGCCTGCTTGGCGCTGAAGATGACCCAGTTGCCTCAAAGCACGTGCGAATGCCGGGGGCCACCTCGACAACCGAAAGTCAAACCAGATTAGTTGCAACATCGAGCGACCTTTGAGGAGCTCCCGCCGAGGAGATGGATTGCCAGCATAGGCAGTGAGCTCCGCAGTGTAGGCTGCATCGGCTCCTTTCTGAATTGGGGCTACCTCTCGAGACTGGCTCACTGCTCGTCGCCTTCCCGTCAAAAGAGAATACATTTTAAATGCAACAGGACTGCGACTCTCCTGCAGGCGGGCTCGGGGAGCAGGATGCTGCTGTAGGCCTCTGTGCTCGATTCATCATCCAAATTCACTACTACATGGACATGGTCTGAACCTCTGAGCTGCATTACGGCATTGCTATTTCAAGACAAACTCACTCTTGTCTTCGCTGCACACTGCGGTCTCAAGAGCGGTGGCCGGAGCTCCGCATCGCGGCGGGAAACGAGCTCGTCCAGAAAAGACGAAGCCACGGGCAGCCTAAGCTAGCCGCACGGACCACATCGGACTGCTGGGAAATCAATTCGGTCTGATCTTGATCCTCGACTGTAGTGGAAGGAATATTTTTATGGCGGCTTGATGCAAGTCGCGCGCCGTCCGCGACGCAGCACAGAAGTTTCCTGGATCTAAGGTCCGGCAAAGCAGCCCAAGTCAAGTCTGCATAAGACACCGGCCATACAGCATCGAATGTATTTGCAGGTTCTGACCGGAATATGCTGGATTGCTCTTGACTGCCTTTTGAGCAACCTTACACAAGCCCAGCTTCGGTGTGATTGCCCATTGCTCAATAAGCAAGTGAGTGCATTGCAGTGTCCACTCCGAGGTGAGAAACCTGCGGCATGGCACCATGATTTGAACGTGACTGAGAGCCCGCATCGAACTTTAACATCTCGAGTCTGTTGACAAGCATAAGCCGCCCTAAAGATGGGGATTCTTGCTTCTGGGCCACACCCCGCAGGCGCGTGCCAGATCCTTGAGATTCTGCAGCTCCGGCGAGGAGAGGCGGCTGGATATGCTCAGGACAATCGGCTTCCACTTCCTTATATCGAACACAAACCAAGAACACCTTCTTGAATTCTGTTGCAGTCCAAGGCACAATGTGTAGCGGAGCGGATCGATGCCACAGGTGAAGAAATCACCATCCTTCAGCTTGACCGCAACTCCTTTGCCTGGAGTCTTCAGCTCGTTCACGAAGGTGTGGCCGGTGGATGATCGATCGATGAGACTGATTTCCAGAGGGCACGCATGGTCCAAGGAACCTTCAGAGCACTGTAGACTATAGAGCTCTGCAACACGCAGACATACGCAGAGTATGAGGTTGAACAGCGCAACTGTGAGGTTGCTGACTCTGGGCCTTGCGTGGCGACGACTACCAGCTCAGCGTGCACTCTCGACACCGACCTCAAGGAGTTATGTACTCGCAAGGCTCGAAATTGGTTCAACATCGGCCGCGTGGCTGGTGAGTTGATCGGATGTGGGCAGTTTGCCCACGGCCAACTTGCGCAGAGCCAGGCAGCAACAGGAGGGGTGGCTCACCAGCAGGATCGCCTACAGCCAGCGAAAGCCAGCAAGTGTGGGCGAGATCGCTGGAAGCGGCTCAGTGTCTTGGGCCTTCCAGCGCCAGCTGCCAGCTCATGGCCTCGAGGCGAATCGGTTCTGGGAGCCGCAGCACTGAAACTGAACAGCACGTGGCCGACCGCACTTGCAGGCAGGCAGCTCAGTGCAATGAGGTTGCGTTGAATTCGCAGCTCTGCCGACGTCCAGTTGCATCATGGAGTGCAGACTGGGATGCTGCTCTCAACTCTTCTTGCCTGCTGCTTGCTTGCTGGCAATCCACGTAGGTTTGTTGCTTCTGTCACGCACTCTATGTGGGATCTAGGATTGCAGTGCTGGGGTGATTGCAGCCTCTGTGGATTTGACTTACTACACATGGGTTCGGATTCTCATGGCTTTAGCAAGTCCAAATGGCTGCGAGACAAGATGAATGGGGTTTGTTGCCTCCCAGCTGCCCTCTTAGACTGCCGCGCAAAGACATGTTCAACAACGGCCAGGTTGTGGTGGAGGTTTTTTTTTTTTTGCAAACCGGTACAGTTAGAGGTTTTATAAAATTGTTTTTAGTTTGAGGGCAGGATGATATATAGATTCGCTCCTAAGCGATCGGCTGTCGCGTCGCCAACTGCTGAAGAATTTTCGTCTAAACTTGGATGCTCCATCCTCACTACAACACACATCTTGAATGTATCTTGAAGAGTTGTATTCGATTGCGACTTCGGGGATGCGGCTTCACAGCACGCATGTCATCGTTATCCCAGGTCGTGTCATCTCATCTTGTCACTTGCCATGCGGTGCTCTCTCTCACATGTTCTGGGTATTCACTCCAGTGGTGTGCAGCTTCTGCTGAAATCCCCGATTGCGCAAGCTGCAAGACCGGCAAAACTTGCCGTGCACCACTCCAATGCCCAAGTCCACGCCGCACCTCCAGATCTGGCAGCAGCCGCCTCAGCGGAAGCACGCGATGCCGCCACAATGCCCACGGCTGATGAACATTAGAGCTTTCGAGTTGTCCACCTGTAAGTCTGCAAGAGCTTCAACTCGTACCTCTCCAACGCCAGCACTGGCCTGATATCCAGGGGAGGCATTTGGGGAACTTGAGGGAAGCTGGACTGAGGGTGCAGGGACATTGGTGCTTACTCCTTCGCCCCTCCTCCTCCCCCCCTTTTTCTCACACTCTCCTTCAACGTCCTAGCAACTTTTACGCGAGGCTCATTCAGAAACGTTTTGGCATTTTGCGCCCCAACTAATTTGGGAGGTTCCGTACTTTGCACAGCTAGCCACCCAAATAAATTGCTGAAGTTCTGAATGCAATTTTGTGGGATCTGGCCAGCCCCCTGTTCTTACTCGGGTATTCAGTTTTCTTCAGCTTCTCACATTTGGATGCTTCATGATGCTTCTGCAAACAGATCGCAGCAGCATGAAAGAGGGTGAAAGATCAGAAATGATGCCCAGCACAAAAATGATCGCATGCACACATTTTCAACCAAAGTTGCATTGTTGCACCATGTTGGGGCTATGGCTTGGATCGGATCTGTGCCCTCTCCTGCTCCGTGGGCTCACGGATACGATATCCTGCAGGCTGCAGCAAGATGGGTTCGATTGCCAGTGTATATGTCTTCCAGCTTCTGACAGCTTCACTGAAGAACATTTCATGGCATTGTGCATAGACAGTCGCAGAGTTTGGAGATTAAGCTGAAAGGACCAGCCTGGGACGAGATCTTTGAAGACAGCAACGCCTGATAGCAATGCCATCAAGCGGGTCTCACGGTCCTTGCTCACACCTTGGTCAGACGCAGCATTGCAAAACACAAATTTGCGCATCACGTTTCATCTCGAAAACCTGCCCTGTGCACCACTGCTCTGCGGTGCAAAAGAGCAGTGTCTGCAGATTCGTCAAGTGGTCTCCAGGTCTCCCGGGAGCAATGATAATGAGTTGCAAGCGGTGCAGGTGAAAGAAAATGTCAAACAGGTCCAACTCCTGCATCTGTGCGGCAAGGCCACAATGCACCACTGGCATGCTTGGTCGAAACTGGCTTCTTCATCTTCGTGCGCATTCTCGGGGACTTGGCTGCACGATGCAAAGGCTCCCTGATGGTGCACTTGCTATACAGGCTGAGTTTGCTGGAGTCGGCAGTTCTAAGCAGCCTCGCTCAACATGCAGCATGCTGAGCTTCTTAAAACAGAAGTTTGAAGGCTCTCAATTCAGACCCTTCTGCACTTCACTGGTCGAACTTTGCCAGCTAGTGATTGAAGCGACTTGTCCTTCTCAGGCTCTGCAGCGATACGCTCTGCCGCCGTTGCGAGTCTCGGTTCTCATGCAAGACAGCACCTACTACCTGCACTGCCTGTGTCTGGTGGCCTCCCTGCCAAACTTATCTGACGAGCATTGGCTTGCTGGGGTCCCACACAACCTCCGATCACCAGCAGGCCCTGAGCAACACTTCTCCAGTCTGCTATGTGGTGTCGACAATGCCAGGCCCTGCCACTGCGCCTCCAGAGCGCAGTTTGTCAATGAGCTCGGAGGCTGCCTGGCGAGATTCTTGCATGCCAGGTGCCGCTTCTCAGATATTGCAAGGCCCTGCCCAAGTGGCATCTCCACGGAGCATCCATGCAAGCAACATTTTGCACTGGCATGTACTGTAAACGGTGGTATGAAGTATATGCTTCGGTTGCCTTGCCCTACTGAGCGAAAGGCTTGAAAATTCGTTTTAAAGATGGACGCGTCCCAGCCGCAGCCCAGGCTGAACACTGCTGCCATGACTTGGTCAAGGAGCAACGCGCCATAATGCTCTCGCCCCAACTCCTGTCTTAAGGTTTTTGCATCGTTGTGCCAAAGACAGGCCAAGAGATCGTTGAGATTCGAGCTTGCTGAAAACTTGAGGGCGTCTGAGTTCACCGCATCTCCAGGAAGCTCGCGGTGAGGCTCAGAGTATGCCAGAGTGCCACATGAGGCGAGGTCCAAGTGGACTTTGTTACGTCGACTTTGTTAGACGTCATCGCATCTCGAGGACGCCTGCGGCAAGACCAAGAATGCCACATGCGATGACGACGATGGGTGCCTGGACTTGGGCGAGGATTGGTCGGTCCGGGAATTTGAGCCAATGCACGCCCCAGAAGGCAATCAGGCCAATGCACGTGGAGGCCTCCTTTGGGATGGGGCCATTGGGTTTTGTGTTGTTCTCCCGCACCCCGGCTCCCATCTGGACCAGTGCAGCACAAAGGAGGCCGACAGCTGCTGCATTGAGGCCTGGTAGTGCACGTTTGTAAGTGTCGTTGGAGCGGAACTGGCCCCAGAAGGGAAGGATCCCAAAGATCAGCATGACTCCAGGTCCGAAAAGACCAAGCCAGCAAAGCCCTGCTCCCAAGATGCCTTCCCCAATAGTCATGTAGGCCTTGTAGCCAGCCGCTGCCCCCAGGAAGGCAGCAAAGTTGAAGAGAGGTCCTGGCATCGCTTGTGCCAGCGCCAGGCCAGCAAAGAAGACCGACTGATCCACCCAGCCCGTGGGCACCATCTCGTTCTCCAGCAAAGGGAGAACCACCTGGCCACCACCCCATATAACGGTCCCTGTGCGCCAGAAGGCCGCAAACCAAAATAGACGCTTGAATTCCGACTCCTCCAGTATCGATGGCAGGACGTAGCTTGCAATGAAGACAAGAGCCACCACTGCGATCAGGATCGCGCCGCCTGTAGGCCCAAGGCCAAAGTGCTCCACCCCGCTTTCCTCGGCAGTGTGAGCTCTCGTGTCCTTAGACTCAGGAAGAGGACCACGCCAGAAATATGTAAAAGCGCCCCCCAAAACGATCAGAGTCGGGAAGATCCACATCCAATTGCGTCCGTCGCGGTCCACTGGTGCAATCAGCTCTGCCGAGTAATACAACAACACAACGCAGCAAAATCCGGCCAGCACCTTTGCATCAGCACTCGAGCCGCAGGCCTTGTTCCACAGTCCGATGGCAGCCGAGGCCACCAGTGCCACACCAGCTGCACTCAAACCTCCGACCAAGCCAGCCAGCCAGGAGTAGTCAGAAATGACCTCGCGATATGCGGAATTTGCCGTCTTCTAATCCGAGTAATTGCGTCTACCCGTGTGTACCAGTGATGTACAAGTTGTACAACCATGGAGATTTGACTCATCTGAGACTCTGGCCTGTGGAGTAGCCCAGTTGTGGGCAGTGAGCCCAAAGATTGTCATCATGATTGCGCCCGGATACTGGAACAGAATTCCGCTCAGGAGCCTTGCCGTTCGTAGCTTGCGCTATGAGGCATTAAAAGCATTAGGTGTCCTATGTCTGTGCAACTGCAGACGGTCTCCAAGAACAGCAGAGTTGAGAATGTTGTGTGAGATCACTAGTCATTCGTATGAACGGATTTCTGCCCGGCAGCCCTCCGGCAATGCCCTTCTTGGTTGTACCCAAAGCGAACGACCTGCAGCAGAATGCCCGAAATCTTGCGTGCCGGACGCCCAATCAGGGAAGCGGGCCGAACTGAATGTTACCGACCGTCAAACGCAGATTCTGCACGCAGTCTCGAGCTGCATCATGCGCTCCAGTGACAACCGCTGATATGGACTTCGCTGAATGCGCTCGGATATCACACTGCATCCCAGCTGCATCTGAGTGGAGCTTGGGCCAGGCCTCTGGAAAGAAAAGTGGTTGCTGGCAAGGTGCTACTAAAGCTATATTCGGCAGCGTCAGCTGTCCGAAGACTTATTTCATGGTCCCCCGTCAGACACTGGAAAATGCAACCGCGAAGGTTGCGAAGAACAACAAGCGGAGCTATCCTGAGCAGCTTCCAATTCATTTTGCCGAGCTGCATGCACTGACAGACTGCCTAGGCTTTGGCAGTTGAAGCTTCAGGCGGAGTGCGAAAGTAACTGATGACGGGGGTGCGAGGTGGCTGGAAGGGGAGGCAAGAGCAAAACACGACGAATGAAAAATGGAAGGAAGCCCGCCGTGGCCTAGACCCTTCAACCTCACGGCGCCATAAAACACGACAAACTGGCCAAACCTCGTACACCTCCAGCGTAATCATGCTTTCATCGCTGCAACATAATGCAGCCAACAATAGGACAAAGGATGGATAAAGGGAACCCGCTGCCTGAGGCTGGACAGCGGTTCGGGCAGTTTTGCTGCACCTGAAAACGCCGCGGGTGTGCCGACATTATCTACGCCCTGGGGAATTGGAGAACCCCAAACATCAGATTGTAGAGACAGTGGCGGTCGCATCACAATTGACAGCGATCGAGGTCGAAAGAACTAAGGATGCTACAAAGAGCTCTGTGAAGACATCGACGCTCATCCATCCGAGGCGTTCCACGAATGTCTTCCTCGTGAGCGGTGGGGGGGCCAACGTGCAAAAATGGGCATTTTCTTTCTTATAAATCAGCAACCTTTTTGTCTCGGCTTGAACCCATTCAGCTGGCTGTGACTTGACGACCGTTGACACCTCACCAATTATGACAGACACTGAGGCCATGCCAAGTTTCTGAAACAGCCCAACATGAGCTGCAGGTCCTTGCCGAAGACAGCGCTGCAAGCAAGAGCAGAGAATCACGTGCAGTGCCAAAACAGCCGGCAAACTCTCACAATAACTACTAATGATTACAAATTTCAACATCAACAACATCATCATCATCATCAACAACAACAACAACAACAGCTGCTGCTGCTGCTGCAGCTGCTGCAGCTGCTACTACTGCTACTACTGCTACTACGGCTGCTGCTGCTACTACTACTACTACGACGACGACGATTACTACTACTACTACTACTACTACTACTACTACTACTACTACTACTACTACTACTAGTACTACTACTACTACTACTACTACTACTACTACTACTACTACTACTACTACTACTACTACTACTACTACTACTGCTACTGCTACTGCTACTGCTACTGCTACTGCTACTACTACGACTACGACGACTACTACTACTACTGCTACTGCTACTGCTACTGCTACTACTACGACTACGACGACGACGACTGCTACTACTGCTACTGCTACCGCTACCGCTACTGCTACTGCTACTGCTACTACTACTACTACTACTACTACTACTACTACTACTACTAGTCTGCTTAACATCACTATGACTATTGCTACAAGCACGTGCTAGCACGACTACTCTTATCTATTCATAGTACTTATACCACTATTGCTACCACAACTTCAACTTGCTATCATCACTACTAGGTCGCTACTAATGCAAATACGGTTTGCAATATTGTTTGCATTACTACTACTATTGTCGATTGTGTTCAAAATTTGCATTGTTACTACTATGATGCCTTCGTGCCGCAAGCACGTTTCGACTAACATGTTGCGATGGGCACACAGCAGGATCTGACCATGGTCTTGCCCAGCCCATGGTAACTTACTCGGTCAACAGCAAACCTCCCCCATGAAGAGTTAAGTCTTGGTGTGCTTGAAGCTCCCTCAACTGGCATCCTCCGAAGGCAGTCCATCCCATCAGGATGAAGTGCTTGGCGATGTCACCAAAGCCCACCTGGCTGCCGTGACTGTTGGGCAATCTGACGAGCAGCCGATCTTCACTGTCACTTCCGCACGCCTTGGCTGGTGAAGGGCTCTTGGCCACTTCAACATCAATGTCTGCGCTGGCCATTGCCTTAAAGCGCCTTTCTTTTAAGGCGGCTAAGGAAAGAGCCAAATGGCCTGACAGGTACCTGCGATGAGGTGGCTCAAAGACCCTTCAGGCCCACAGGTACATGGACACATGCATCAGTCCCAGGTCGTGCACATTGCACAGTTCTGCAGGTGGGTGCAAGCACCAGAGAACTACAAGTACATAAACGCCCCAACCTTGGAGATTTGGCCATCTTTGGCTTTCGCCTGCGGCGCATCATTGCATTGTCCGTTGGGCCACGCTTCTGAGTGTCGACACAGCCACAGAGCCCTCCCTATCTCACTCCTGTCTCTCACACGCTGTGCTCGATTCGTTCTCCCTGCCTTTCCCCTAATGGCTTGCGCTGCCTGCAGCAGAAAGTAAATCAGGAAACAACTGCTGGAAACAGTGGCGATTACGTGCTGTGCAGGCTGCACATGATGCCCGACTTCTCTAGACTTATCACTGAAGTTCTGGCCAATCTGCACAAGCTGGCGCGACAGTGGAAGGGCTTTGTGAGATAAGGGCTCCCATCGTTCAGACACGCCCTGTGTGTCCAAATCAAAAATGACATGAGATCGTTTCTTGCAGCCTCGTCTGCTGCTTTCTTCGCGGCAGCCGCAGATGTGTTTGCAGCCCGAGCCTGACGAAGGAAAGCCATTAGCAACATTGACGGCGTGGAGAGGACGCAGCAGTCGCAATGCAAAATGTGGCAGCATTTGCAGGAAGGTGCTTCGTCTTCAGTCGGCGAGGGCTCAATCGAAATCACAGCAGTTCATGGTGCCGCTCAGTTTGGCGCAACCATGCAGCTTGCGAGCTGCATGGCCGCCGGATAGGTCGCCAACCTTCTTTGCCTGCAGCTTCTCGATGCGTTTCAGCTTCTTCCTGCACAATTGTACAGAATGGCGAGCGGCGCGAACGTAGGGACACGATCCAGTGTGCCTCTTCAGTACTCATCGCTGAAACAGAAGCTATCATGAGTCTGCTGCGGCTTCATCCGCGTCCTTCCGACTTGCTGTTCATCACCAGCCTCGCCAACCTTGTTTCTGGGCACTTCAGTCGAACCTTTACGGCAATGGCTACGGCATTGGCGGCACGTCGCCCCGATATACTGGCACCTAAAGGTGTGCCAGTGCAGCATCTGGTAACTGAGAAGAACGCCTTCTCGCTGCTTCGGCCGCGTTTCTTTCGCGGCCTGGGAATTTACACTCCTGCTGAACATGGGGGCAAGATTTTCCCGCCACCGCGACGACATAATTATGGGGAATATTTGTGCCTAGAGTCAAATTCGTGAGGATTCCAGAAGAGTACTTGCAGTACACTTGCAAGGCAAGGCTGGGCTTGGCTGCCAATACATATATATATATATTATATGCATAAGCCTACAAAAGAGAGTGATGATGAGGCATGCATATACAAATGTATACTTACAAGTATGTTTATTTATGTGCGATAGACATGTCCGTCCACCTTTCGCATCGCTTTGGCTTTTCTCCTCTCTCTTGCAGCTGTTGCCATTTCACGCATGGCCTCTCGCAAGGTCTTTGTCCAGGTCAGGCTGTGAGCTCTTGGCCTTCCCTGGTGGCCTCCGGGCCCTGAGTTCCAATTCGTCACGGCTTGTCTGGACTTTGCATGGAGTCTCAAGGCTGGGGCGGCCATAGGGCGAAGGCACAAGTCCGAAACATTGTTAAATCTGTAGGTGGCATGTTGAGACTCCCCGCGTCGATCCTGAAGCCGTGTGGAAAAGATGCTTTATACTGATACTTGATTTTCACATTCCCCGGGGTATATACACTGGGCCCATGGCAACCAAACACCAGGCACGGGTGCACAGTTCGCACCAGTGCATCCTCGTGCTGGATCCGTGTCGATGGTTGCACTGACTGAGTCACCTCTCAGTCAGATTCAGGGTCCGAGGCTGACCATTGAGGATTGAGGATGTCCGTCCCATGACAAGCACAAGGGCAGTGTTGCCCCAGGCTGGCGCCTATATAAGCCGATGCTAACTCAAATTGCCGATGTGACTTTAGCGTGACCTATCTGACATCAAAACACGTCAAAACGCGTCAATTGCGCAGTTGCCTGAGGCCTCCTCTGCTTGTAGCGCCCTCAATGATAAACTCTATAAGGGATGTGGCGTAGGTTCGCACTTCCTTTCAATGCCCACCTGAGTACCAACACTCTGGAAAAAGAAGATGAATGCCTGCGGAAGTGGAACCTACACTAAGCCTCCTGGCCTAGCCTACCAGAATTCCACCTCTCTCTCTGCCCCAAGCTTCCATTAACTTCTTGATGCCGGTTTTTAAGCTTGGGACATCTTGGGACCCTCACGTCATGACATAGTCTTGCATGGAAGCGTATGGAAGCGTGGGCTGCTTATAGACAAAGCTTTAAAATTTACTGATGGCCAGCAGGGGATGTAGGATGAACCACCTACCCTCCCTGCCAACCGTCAGTAGACAAAGCTTTAAAAGGGGTCCACCCCCAGCGCCAGGAGAGCATTTTTTGCCGCCGTCCGGACACCTGCTCAGCGGAACGAACGGCTGGCCCAATCAACGATGAACATTTGTGGCAAACTATGATCTACCAGTCCAGCAACTACCATGAATCATGAGGGTGATTGCGTCTGGTATCTTCTGGTGCCAAAAAGCATGGTGCCAAGGCACTGATGTCGGAGTCTTTATGCACCAGCCGCTGAAGAACCTGGATCGACTCTCTGTCGCCGTTCCTTATGCAGCTTTACAGCCGATGCTAGGAACATATTTCATGAGCACTGGGCACCTGCAAACACTCCCACACCCCGAGCCTTTCTCTGCATCATGTACGCATCACAAGACAAAGGGTTTCTGAGGTCTCCGCTGTACAAGGCGAACGGTGGCACGCGTGGCGGCGACACGGACTCCGGCGTCCATGTGTTTCAAGCAAGGGGCCACCTGACAATGACGACTGCTTGAGGCATCACCAGCTATGACTCGCGCTCGTGCAGCATTGCCGAGCAAAACGAGTTAGTGTCCAAATGCCGTTCCCACCTGATTCTTGAGCGCAGAGAGCTCGGCTGCCATGATCTTGCCGTCCTTCCCTGCAGCTGCAATACCAGTTACAGCACATGGCGCAAGCAGTGCCACAGGTTGCTACTCTTGCCACGACTGACACGGCCCACCAATGAACCAATCGCCATTCTTTGCCAACTCACACTATCAGTGCTCTGCGACCGCCTCCGGAAAGCTCCGCCAGCGCTTGCAGCGCCAATGCGCGTACCTTGGAGAAACTCTTCCGGGCTTCAAAGGCCGCCCCCTGAAAGGAAAACCACAGAAACACCCACACTTACTTTTTGCTGCGAATCTTTGTGATTCGATGGCTGGTTTCGCCAAGTCTCTGCCGCACAACTGTCGGCTAAACAGGCGGAGAGGGTTTGAGCAGCCATAGCGGCAAAGCTCGTCTCCTGCCGGGGCTTGAGCTTAAGAGTGCTATGGAGCTAACTGGCTTGGGGAAGAACAAAGCTTGTCTTGCAAGCCGCTTAAAATTCGAAACACAAGGGGTGCCCAGTCGAACTTGGGAAGCGGGATATTTCCACCGACATGGGTTGTGGGTTCAGGGAAGCACTGGAAGGCTTGACAGTCTTTGGAGCAATATAGTCATTTTGTGGCAGCAGCATGTAGCAGCCCCAGTTCTGTATCAAGATATCACAAGCTTTTTGTCTTCAGACTCTATCGACTTAAGTGACCTGGAACTATACTGGGCTCGTTCCAACAGAATCCTCTGAACTCTCATCCTGTCTGGGTCTTAGGGTCTTAGGGTCTTAGGGTCTTGCGGTCTTGGGGAGTTGCAAAACTATGGAAGCTCGTGGCTTCGTGAGAACCTGCTGAGGATCTACGGCGGAATCTCCGCACGCCTCAGCCGCCTCGGGACGCCGCCGAGCACCACAGCGCTCACAGCGACGCCGCGCTGCGGCACTGAGGACGGCGCCCGCAGCACCAGCGACAGAGCTACGAACAGACCTCATTAGGACATGGTAGGACTCACTCAGTGGAGGTCAAGTGTTGCACAGGTGTTGTTTTCTTGCAGGATCATGCAGGCCAACTTGCAAGCGAGCAGCGGGTCAGGATGCTGGAGGCGGGCTAAGACTGCGAGAAAAGCGAATTCCACGTTGTCTGCGTACTTTTCACTCTCACCTTCCGGCCCACCAACAGAAAGGATTCGTCTTGGGAAACGATTTCGTCGAAGCTGAAATAAGCGGATCCGCTTCAGGAGGGGGACCGCGCTAAACGTTTTTGAGCGAAACCTGATATGTGTGTGTGTGTGTGTGCACGCGTCACGGTGGACCCGAAGGTATGCTGCAGCCTGCTGCAGCTGCCACATGCTGGGAGGGCATAGCTTGTGTGCACAGTTGTGCATCGATTGGATGTTCATCGTTGCCCATGCTGCTGCAGTGCAGTAGTAGTGCAGTATTGAAGCGGCGGTGCCTGCCCTTGGTGGTTAGAAGCCGTGTTTTCATGACGTCGCGAGAGCGACGGTGGCCCTTTGAGCATAGCTGAGCATCATGTCTCAGCTATCTAGGCCCATTTCCTTTCTGGTTCAACGTTTAAGCTTCAGGCGAGGCTTTAATTTGGCGGCTTCATTGGCGACGACTCACAACTCCATGAGGCCCAGGTTTCAGGGCTTTTTCTTGGCTACGAAAAATCGCGCAATGTAGGGATAAAGGATGCACACGCGAAGTTCCGCGAAGCTTCGCTCACACCTGTCACATCCAGTACAGAAGAGGGACACCAGCACGCCGGAGCTTGCCAATACCCAATAAAATGCTGCGTTCAGGATGCGACACTTGTCCTATAGCTTCAACTTCTTTTTACGGCTTGAACATCTTTTTGACTTTGTTTGGGGGTTGCCGGCCACTACCGTTTCGACTCTCACACCATAAGCTGCAAACTAGAACGATCGTCAGGGACTGGAACAAGCGACGCCGAAGCGTTTTCTCCGTCGGGCCTGGATGAACGCAGAAAGGACCTCAACCACACGCACCAGTTCCATGCATAAGACAAAGGAGATGGCAACTTGAATACGTTGCAAGGACGCTCTGTGGTGCTGCAGGGCCACATCCACTGATTGAGACAAAGCGGGCGAGGGCACGTGCAGCCGCCGTTCGAACCAGAGCACTCCGGTCATGGAGCAAGGCGCTTAAAGCGAACCTCCCAAGGCGAAGTCGGACGCACACAGCCGAGCCATACCGAACATATGCACATACGAATACCAGCCTGGCTGCTTGATCGAGGAACTCTGGGCGAGCTGCCAATGCCTGTTGGAAATGTTTCTCCCGGTGTGTTTGGGATGTTTGGTCGTGTGTAAGCTTCAGGGCTGAGGGTTCAGGCGGTTCAGGGTTCCGGGTTCTCGAGTCGAGGGCGTAACAGAGCTTCTGGATTCTCGTCCTGCTCTACAAGTAGCTGCTCTAGCTGAATCAGTGCTCTCACCCGCTGAGGCAGCAACCTCAGCTGCCGCCGACCGTACTGAATCGCTCGGGTCCAGAAGTCGACGCCTCAAAGCGTCTGCTGAGGCATCACCTGAACTTGCAACGGCACAGGTGCAAGCCCGCAGAATCCCACACCAAACATAGACCAGAAATGTGAAAAAAAAAACCGCTGAGCAGGAATTGACAGGATTGCAGCTGAAAGATTGTCAGCGCCACTTGGACTTGGCTGGATGTAGGTTTTGATCGCCGATTTTTTCCAGTGTGAAACCATGCACCACTTTCACATACTTTCACATAATGTTCGTGTCTCGCTGCTACCTGCCCTGTTCGCTGGTTTGAAGCATCCTGTGCCTCAAACCGCCTCACTGCTCTTCTTGATCATCGCCTGCAGGTCGGTCTTCTCCGAGTGATTGCTGGGAGCAGTGCTTGCAGGGTTGCGCTGGTAGTTTCCCTTCCCGCCCACCAACGAATTGAAGGGCTGGAATTGCATGTGATCGCCGCGTGCTACGCGCTCCGTGTGCTGGCAGCAACTAGTCATTGAAGAAGTGATGAAAGATGGAAGTGCGCAAGTGTTAACACCTCGATGAACGCTGACAAGCCGTTTCAGCGGAGCCATGCGGCAACGCGTGGCTCGGCTGAACGCGCAGCGGCAGCTGATCTTAAGATGCATCCTGGATGCGCATGATGCCCAACATCTGCACCGCCACCAGCCTGCTGGTTGGGTAACTGCGCCGGCATGTGAAGATTGTGAAGTTGTGCTAACACGGCTGACATGTTAGTCAAGCAAATGCTGTCCCCCAACTAAGCATGCACAACCAGTCTGCCTAGATCGCTCATCTCGACTTTCCAGACGCTCCAAGACCTTGCTGACCAGCGGACGGGCACACGCAGTCGAAGCTCACTAAGCACCGCGTACTACCTGGTTTACTACATTGACATACATCTGTACACGAAGCTGTTTCGACATGTTTCGACCCTTTCAAGTTTGCAAAGCTTCTTGGATGCCAGTGTCCTGCGAACGAGGCTCTTCTTCTCGCGTGTTCGATCTGCCCGCCTGAGCTGCTGGAACTCAGGCGAGCTGAAGTGTTCAACCCGACGGTGAGATCGGCAGCCATCTCATGATTGCTTCAAATTTCAGACTGCGTAGAGTACCAAGCCTTACCAAGCGCACGATGACGCCTCGAACACTTTGCCAAGCTTCAACAGCAGCTGCCATGAGGACTGAAGTTGCCGAATCTTGCACATCTCGTAGTGGCTGATTCAGGCTGTCCCACACCTCGGCACCATGCAGAATCAGGGACATGGACGTTGGAATCGGAAGCGTTTTGAAGATTCAGCTGAGCCGTCCGCTTCCGCCTCTACTGCAGACCAAACCTGACAGCGGCAACGACTGGCATTGGCCGCAGAATCCCGCAGAGGTGGGACAGACACGTTACACCCGGATTGCTGCTGCGTGCTCCAATGTAGGGTACGGTCCAAAGTCTGCTGCACGAGCGCCGTGCTGTAGAAGCTATAGTGTTAGAGTCCGTTCGCAGCAGTTCATTTAGGGACGCTGGTAAAGGCCTTTGGATCTCCCCCACTGTCTTTGGCAATGCTGTGAAGGCTCTGCAAAGCCTGCAGCCCAGATGAAGCACAGCATGCAAACAGCATCAAACAATCTGTCAGCAATGGGAGAAGATCTTTTAAAATTTAATTTTTCAAACGACGCGGTTCACCAGCCTCCAAAGCCAGGGCAGAGCTCAACGATGAACGCAATATCTCAGTTGTGATGACCAACCTCGTGCTGGATCGGCACTGGCTAACCACGCACTTGATACAACAGATATCTGGTCCAGGGTTGGTGCCCACTGTTTCGGGGAGTGGTGTCCTCCGAGCTCGTCTAGACGAGCACTACATGGTCCATGTTTATTTGGGCGCAGTCGTGCGGAGAAGACGAGCCACGAACAATCCCTCAAACTTTGTTGAGCACTAGCTATACAGTTATACAGTAACCAGCAAAACGGGGCATGATGCTCTTGCCTTCACGGCATGCCTGTGACGGCGACACCTATGGAACCGCAGCCCTGCTTACGCAGTACCGGCTTGACAAATGTTGGGAGGAACAGCTTGTGCTTGCACTTCTTTGCCCAAGGCTCTGTAGCTCCACGCAGCCGTCTGCAAAACTTTGGCAACGGCACTTTTCTGTGAGGAGTTGGTCCCTGCATCAAGGCGCATTCGAGACTATGGGCTATATGGTTCTTGCCATCGCAGGAGTGCACGCTCCTTTCTAGGTCAAGACAGGGGAGTGTTTAAATGGCCCAGAGGAGTTTTCAGAGGAGGTCAGCACAAAGGACTCTACTCTACAATAGGCTCTGCAGCAGACCCTATTAAATACCTTGCCAGAGTCTGCATCTCCGCGCATCCGAACAACACGGGATGTGTCATGGCAAGGCTGTACATTTGCAAGCGGTCCAGTCAAACACTGGCTAACTACCCGTGCCGTGTCAACGGACAGTGCCTAACCACCTTTGCGAAACTTAAAGACGCTCAACAAACCATGAACAACGAAGTCCGCGTGCGTAGCCTGTAGAGCAGCTTCTGACCTGAGCCGGGTCGAAACATCTGTCCAGGAGCGCATTCGAGCTTCTCTACGACACCACGCCGCCATGCAACCCGAATGTCTGGGATCCGCACAAATTTTTGGAATCGCCCAGTCTTGCTCGATTCTGTACTTCACGTCTTTGACTGTTGACCTAAAAGAGCTGTAGCTGAGAATCGTGAGAAGAAGATGGGTCAGGGTGAAATTAACGCATCCAAAAGTAGGCCAGGTAGCTCTGGTGGTACTTCCAAGTCGAAGCTCTGCCCTGATAAGCTTCGAATCCGGCAAGCAAGCATGGGCGCAGCGGTGCCTTTCCCCCACCCACGGTGGCTGCAAAGTACTGCAAAGTCTAGTGCGGTTGCGGCAGCCACCGGCTTGCGACTCTTAGGTTTGCCTGCAACATGCCATTGACTGCAAGCTGCCAGGGCTGTTGTCGCCCTGGATGGGGAAATCCTGCAAGCCGTGGCTGCGGATATTCAAGATGTTTGCCAATATTAGTAGCTCGAAAGCACTAAATTCACCAAATTATTCGGCTTCAGCCCGCTCTTGGACATTCTTGCGCTATCCTTAGCCTCGACATCTCCTTGGATCCCCTTGGCACAGGCAGGATTCTGAGTCATGAGCCTGGAGCCGCTGCCTTAGCCGTGCAGACTGTTAAAATATGTCATAAGATGTTATAAGAGTACAACCGCCACACGCACGCACCTGAAGATGAGGAGTTCAGACACGGCACGCGGAGCTGTTCATCCAGTCTGCCGGATTGCCAACTTCACCCGAACCACAAGTTGGACCACAAGTGACAAACCCCAAGCTGCTCTAGGCCCGAGGCCTTTCCGCGGCACGAGGACCCAAACAAATCCAGGCAAAAGGCCCATCCCTCAACGACCGTCAACATGGCCGACGAAACCGTAGATATTATTAAAAGACCCCTGCAGGGGGAGGGTGCATCTTGAGAGACCTGTTGGGGCTGCACTGGCGGCTCAGCAGACCAAGATACACAAAGCCTAAAGGCTTAGCATAGCGAACTTGAAAAGATGCGATTTCTACCATCCTCAAGAGGCCCCCAGGCCTGAAAGTGCGGAACAAATGAGAACCCTGATGTACTTCCTGCAAAGATCCGAAATGGCGCTTGCCGAAATGGCGCTTGTAGAGATGTTGCTGTGCTCAAGCCACAGCAGAGCCAAGTCGCGGACTCATGCTGTGGGCCAGACCAGCTGCGGTCAGCTCCAAACATCACGTCATGGCACATCGGTTGACTGCAAGAAGAAGAAATTTGTGCCGGTCTCGGGTTGAACTAACCAGTGCAGGTCCAGTGCATGTCTCTTCTGTGGATGCCCCCTTTGTCCTTGCCTGTGCTGGCTGCCATTCTCACTAGGTTTGGAACGGCAGGTCTGCTGCAGGAGCAGGGAAAGGCATGGCAAAGCAACGTCAGAAACCGTCCGGACAGGAGCAGTGTGCTCTTGATTGGCAATCTCTTGTGAATTCTCTCACTTCGGTCCCACGTCTGTACTTGAAGTGAAAGCATCGTGCCAGGCAGCCTGTTTTGTTGGAACTCAGCAGCTTCGGATTCGCAATGGGTCCTACTCACTTCCGCCGGAGCCACCCTCAATGTGGGGAGGTGCGCCTGGCAACAGCGCGGGCACAATGTGTGAGACACTCGATGACATGATTGGTTTTCCGGGGGGTTCTACGATTTGCAAGCCCGGTCCAAGAATGTCCAGTAGCTGCTGCTCAAGAAGCCGCAAAACTGCTGCAACTTACCGAGCTCTGCCAGTGTGCTTCTAGGCTTTCGACGAAGGCGAAGTTCTTTGGCAGCCAAGGCTGCGATTCGCTTTGCTTGGTCTCCACGGAACTGCGTGATGTTCCTCAGCGAGCACGCGTTTGGACATGTGAGCTCATTTTACCAGCATGGTGTGCCAGTGCGCGGGTGATGTGTGATGCAGTGTGACGTGTTGTGCACGTGCCTTCCAGAGACCGGGTCGATGACGCCCCACTTGATCTCCTCAGGCCTAAAAAGCCGATTCCCATGAAGCATGTTTTTCTGGAATCGGCTTTGCATGAGCACGTCTTTGTGCCATGCCCAGTGTCCCAAGGATTGCGCCTCAGCACCACATGCAATGATTCACGAGAGGGTGTGAAGAGGATATGAGATCATGGGAAGCTTTCAAATTAGTCTGCTCTGGACTGGATCACTTCTCGGAGGCTCCGGGCAGATCCGCCCAAAGACGGCCATGAGAGGCTCCGGCCTCGTTGGTTGCACCCCCATCATCATCATCATCATCATCATCAGCATCATCATCATCATCATCATCATCGGCATCGTCATGAGAAGCAGCATCCTCATCATCGGCATCGTCATCCTCATCATGTTTCACTCTATGGATCTGTCCTTTCCCCCGTTGCAAAGGTGACTCTTGACATCAAGTGCCAAGAAATATTCTTCCGGTCAATCTGAGAAATCGAGCACCGCTGCCTTGTAGTAGCCCTCTTTCCCTCGCGTTTTCTCGCATTTGCTGGACTGTACAGTTCACAGGTTTCCCAACTTGTCATGGGACCACATCACCTGTATTATGAATTCCTTCAGATTTTGTTCAAGCCGTTCCAGGATCAACTTTTGAAAGGATCTCTTGCAGCACTGACCCCATGGACGACTTGAATTGTGCCGAACGTGATGCGAGAATGGCCAGCTCGACGGCCGCCGTGACCACAGTATTGAGCTGCAGCCGGCGCGAAGCATCCACATCCAGCTGCGACAGGTTCGTAGTAGGACGATTGAGGGCTGCAAGCTCCAAGAATTCCACGTCAGCATCGCTCAACGGGCTAGCATCCATCAATGCTCGCTTGGCACGCGTGGCAGAGTGCCAGATACCATCTGCAAAAGCATTGTGCGGCCGGTTGGAAGAGGTTACCTGGGTGCTGCAACTCAAGACCATGCAAGACAGACCACTCCAATCTGACGTCTCCATGATGATGGATCAAGAATTGCAAACTCTGCTCGGGAGACTGAAGCTTGGGTGTCAATATTCTCTGGTCAACCCCTTGTACGCCCATCTTGCGTTCAGGTTTCTTCAGTGTAAGATGCAGTGCCTTTCAGAACTTGCTGCTGTTTCATACTGTTTCTGATTCATATGAACTCACCAAGGGGAAACTCGAAACGACTAACAAGCGCAGCCCTGACAAAATCCACACTGTTCTTTTCCCGGAAAAGAACCCTTGGGATGAGAATTTGCAGACCGGCAGCCGTCATCCGATCCTCATCAAAGACCAAGCCATCCTTGCCAGCTGAACGCCGCACCAGTTGCACAACAGCCACTGCGGGTAGTCCCAGGAATAGGAACGGCTCCATTCCGTCCAAGTCATCCGTAGATATCCGCCCTGGAAGGAAACTCCGCTCTCAGGGTCTTCTCTTCGCCTCTCCCCTCTCAGCGCCCTCTGCTTTACAGTGTAGAGATGAGAAAGCCAAAGATACCCAAGACACAACTGAATCATGCCCAATCTGTGTGGACTCTCCGGCTGCTCTGTCCTGCCCCATGAAGCTCTACTCCCAACGTGACCGCCCGGCGGAGGCAGGCCTCCCACACATCCTGGAGCCAAGCGACCAAGTTAAAAAGTTAAAACCTATGATCGCAGGAGGAGACTCAAACACACTCAAACAGCAGATGACTGACCAAAACAAGTGAGGAGGAGAAGAAAAGAAGAGGAGGGAGGATCAAAAATGAAGATGGACAGTAGTTTTCTGGGAAGGAATGGCACACACGAAACTTGGCAAGAGATGTTTGCCACCCGCACAGCACGCACCATCAGGCACCCACTCCTCAGGGAACAATCCCACTGGTTCCCCAGTCCCTCGTACGACTGCTGCCGCACACTCCAAGTCTCAACACCACTCAGGGTTACGGGTCCTGCCCCTCACCACACCAGACACAAGGAATGGTGCTGTGGCATGAAACGCATGAGGTGCATGTGCCTTGCTGCCACCAATGGACCCAGGAGCGCATGCAGCAGGTGCGGTTTCATGGGCTCTGGAAGAGGACTTCGTTGACCACTGACCCCTCCCAGCCCCGGTGGTCCCCTGCTGCAGATAGTGTACAGGCGCACACAGACACACAAACAAATACAGAGTTCCTTCATGCTGAACTCCCCCAAGACGTGCCGCCACGTCAATGAAGACTGTGAGGATGTCGGCTCGAAGCTAGCCACAGTAGTGTCCCATGCCTCTGGGATTCGCGCGTGCGAGCACTGAGAAAGATATAGAAAGATCATGAAGGCCGTGTTGTGCCTGCTCGTTTTGGGCACCCATTACCACAGGTGCTGGCTGAGACACGACCTCGCCCGCGCACTCATGCTTTTCAAGCAGGCGATCAGACAGCTTTCAGGCCCAACAGAAAGGCGGGCAGGGACTACCGTGATTCGATGAGAAAATCAACTTAGCAAAGCGGCATCCGATGTGGAAAAGTCAAAATCTCGGTGATATCGCCAAATATCTGTGAACATGTTCAGCAGAAGCTCCTTTGCTGCAAGAGCCGTCAGTCAAGCTTGCTTAAGATTCAGAATAAGCCGGAGCCACAATGCGTGTTCGGTGCAATGCATGAAGAAGTGCTCAGAGCCAGGGGGCCAGCACGCCGGACTCATCTTCATCATCTGCACAAACGCCTGTACCAGCACAGGCGCTCTTTGCGATTGGGGCCACAAATGGCCACAATGTTCTCTTCAGCTCGAATCGAGCCTCCTACTGCTAGATGCCAGCAGCTCAGCTCTGGGTAAAATGCCGAAGACAGCGTGACCCAACCTGAGTCGAGTCAAAGATGCGAAACTTCAGTGAAAGGGTGACATTCTTTTTCTGTGTACGCTAAGCCTGCCAATTTAGAGCTCGACCCCGAGTCCAGTCCAGAACTCAGCCCAGGGGCTGATCGTGGTCAGGAAGATAACTGGAAGTGAGACGGCGAGCATCAGCGGAACCCGCAGTGGAAGAAGCAGAAGCGACAAGCTCGCCATCTGAGCTGAGTGTCAGCTGGCTCACGGGGCGCATGTCTGCAACACCGCTTGTATATGTAAGGGCGGCGTCATCTAGAAACGAGCTACGTGGCCCGGTGACCCGTTCAGAACCATTCGGGCCCCACCGGAACTAGGAGGCATCGAATTTTGTCGAGGGTACCGGGCTCAAACTTTCCCAAACCGATTCCCCCTAATATGAAAAACGCTTTCCGCCCGGAGGCAGTTCAGTTCTTGCGGGGGCGGGGAGGACCCCTTCTTCGAGCAGGGGAGGACCTCTGCAGATTGGACTTGTCAGACGGACGCAATCCTGAAATCTGCTAGAGATATAGTGTAGGGATCTACTGGGCAAAACATGATGAAGCATGGCACTCTTTTGATACATGCCTCTCCTTCTGCACCCGAGAAGCGCAACAGGATTCCGTGCGCAATGCCTTGCAGCTCTGTCGGAAGATGCGCGGAGTCCACACAAGCGCCGTCACAGCGTATGCCAGAGAGTAGGCAGGTGCCAGAACAGTTGCCACAACCACACCTCGAATAGCTCCGAAGACCTTTGGCCAAGCACGGCAGACACTCTAGAGCACAGTCTGACAGGCAAAAGCGCCGGATGGACTGACCATCTGGGACCATTGTTGATCTTTACATCCCTATGTCTCTATAGGTCTCTCCTGATCTTCTCGCTCACTCTTACTCTTTAATTCCCTGTACGATCCGTTTCTTCGGTAAGCCGAAACTCTCTTCGCCAGGTGACGGCCCGAACCAAGAACACGGGAAGCCAGAAGCACTGGCCAAGGGACTGCGCGCAGCAAAAACAGCAAATCAAACAGCAGCCTCAGTGTTGTGTTTATCGTTCTTGCTGCCCCACATGTAAACCACAAACTCCCACAAGGGCAATATGCTTCCTTTACTAAAAGCCAATCGAGCAAGCTTCAGCAAGTCCACTCCCAGCAGGTCCTGAGATTGGGGCAGGAGTTGTCACAAGGGAAAATTGTGCAGCCAATCGTTTACCGAGATGCTTCGGCTCCTCCCATTCAACGGCCATCACAGGCCGGAAGCTGCCTGGTTGGCTATTGAACAAACTGAGCAACATTGCAGCAGACGATGTCCATCGGATCCCAGCACATCCCGACAGATTCCAGTACAATTATCCCAACAGAGCTTTTTGTGAGCACCAGTGTAGGAATGGAGTCAAACAACGTCAAGCAGAAGTGTAGACTCCAAGTGTAGACTCCAGTGCAGAAAATGTAGAAAGTACAAAGCCAAGGCGCCGGAGCTGTGCAAGGCCATGGGCCCGAGCATTGCCCGTGCGCTGTTGGGGATGCCTTGTCGCACCGAATGCGAGTAGACTTTGTTGGAGAAGGCCACCAATCTACCAGGCAAAGCTTCCACCACCTGCTGCTCATCCCTACTTTGAAGGATGAGCTGTGAGCCCGCCCCTTGAAGCCACACCAGCACTGTGTGGCTGTGAACCTGGGAGTTGGGACGACCACCCCAGGAGTCACGGTGATTGTCCACGTCTCCCATGCTGATCATCGCAGGCACCCTCACGTAACCGTCCGCACCAGAGGTTGCAGGAGTCGGAGCAGTACTTGCAGCACTGCGTCCCAGCATGCTGCGAAGTTCTTCAACCACGCGCTGTGGCACAGAGACCGAGGTGGCGAAGCCCGTTCCGGAGTTCACCGTGCCTCGGAGTTCACCACTTTGAATTGCGGCGAGCCTCTCGTGCCCCAGCTCCGCCAGAATTTCTGCCTCTCGGAGGCATTGTTTTAGACTATTTGCCATGTTCACAAATCCTCAAAACCGATCCCAACCCACCCCCGCAACGACAGCCCATCCCAGCGCCTGCAACTGATTATCCAAGAAGACATCTCGTACTATCAGGTCAGGCACCTGCGCTAAAGGGCGGCTTGCAAGATGATGAACATGACGCAATGAAGCTCTCCAGGCCTGACTTGATGTAGCCATGGCGTCGGGCTGCAACTTCAATTCAATTGCGAGGCCCAGCGGGCATAAGGTACATCAGGGACGTCGAAGCAGGAAAGTTACACGACTCTTGCATATGGATGCCAGGAGGTCCTTCTGAGAAGTCAAGCACAGCGAGCTGCGGATGACTGTGATGCAGTTCGCGGAATTATGCGGCATTCTGCAGAATGATGCGGAATGACTGAAGAACAGAGCCAAGAGGAGGTCCCGCACTCTGAGCGCTGCTTTCATTCAAGTGCTTTAGCCGACGCTCTCGCCACAAGGTCAAGTG